TATATATAAGCAGGATGTACAACAGAGAATTCCCCTATATTATACCATGCACCGCAACAAGGAGAATCTCACTGCAAAGGAGTTGTTCAACAAGAAGCACGAAGACCAACATAAAGCTGCACAAGAATGGGTGAAGAACACCTCTCAGTCTTGCTCGACTGTTGCAATCCTTGTTGCTACTGTTGTCTTCGCAGCAGCATACACCGCACCAGGAGGTTACCTTGGTAAAGCCTCTTGTTGATGAATTTATTTGCTACAATTTTCTTGAAAGAAACATTGTTAAATATAAATATATATATATATATATATATATGCATTAATGATTTTGATGATCCTGTATACAGCAAACGGCAAACCCCTTCTCCTCGAAAGACCTCTGTATTCTTTCTTCACTGTAATGGACGTTGCAGGCCTGGCAAGCTCCTTGACCTCAGTGGTGGTCTTTCTTTCCGTCCTCACATCTTCCCTTGAGATTGATGATTTTCTTCGGACTCTCCCCCGAAAGCTAATGCTTGGCTTCATCTTTCTCTTCTTCTCCGTAACGGCGACCATGCTCTCGTTCACAGCAACAATTTTGCTCCTTATTCATTTACAGAAAAAGTGGACTGCAACTCTCACGTATGCGGCTGCATTCCTTCCTATCTGTGTGTTTGCGTTGTTTCAGTTCCCTCTTTATTATGAGTACACCGTCGCTGCTATCAGAGGCATTGTTGACTTCATACAGGCGATTCTACCTGGGAACTGGGATTTAGCCCGGTGTAAGCCTAATTAATTAAGATTGATTAAGATTAATTTTTACTGCTTATTACCCTTGTGTTTTGTGTGTAAACCATCAAAAATTTGTTAATTTCTCTGTAAGTTTGTCTGGTGCGTAGCACATGAGGAATCAATGTACTTATCCGGCTTGATTAATCATTCATAAACAAGCAGTCAAAACCAATGTTCTTTCTTGATAATCATCAACTACCATCATTTTCTATATCTAACTAGCAACATATGTACACAAAGACATAACCTGGTTGCAGGCTGCAATCAGATTTGGTAAACCTGAAAAGGATGAATTTCTATTAGCAAGCCTACCCGTCATGCCAGGGAAGCAATGGGATGAACTGGAACCCGTGCCTGCTCGATCCTTCATTTATCCAATCTGGGATGCCTCTTGTTTACACGACAAAAAAGGGCCTACGTTTTTTGCTTTTCAATGGCTTTAATCCCATCTGATGAAGAAACGAGGACAGAACATGACTGTTACTTCATTACGCGATCCTTCCCTGATGATTCAAACCCATATTCATAGTTTTTCTTTCAAGGTTGAGAGATTTTTAAGTTTTGTTTCAGATAATTGTTTCACAAATCAGATTTTGAGTGTCTTTTTTCCTAATTTGAAATTGATGAGATTGGATTTCTTATCCTCCTTGTACCTATCAGAAACAGTGAATTTTGAAACTTTTGCAATCACTGGATAGATAACAAAACAATTCCCGTTATAACCTTTTATTTGCTTCTACAGGGCAGGCTTTCATATTTAATATACTAATTTAGTTATTTAGCCCAGAGTCACAGAAAAATCCCGGATGAACAGTCCTCCCAGGCAGTAGACATTGCTCATAATTGTTCAAGAGTAGACCAGTTCTTCTGAAAAGATATCACATTGGTTTTCAATGGCATTTACAACATAAAAACAAACTAGTGCAAACCTCATGGAAAACTTCTAGTATAATCCCATGATACTCCTCAGAATTCATTGAAACGTAGTAATTCAAGAGGCTGCGAAGGTCCTTGGGCTCTTGAATCCGGTTCGCCATAATCATCTCAACCATAGACTCTCTGAAATCTTCTCTTGGATCGTAAGAGCACTTTTCCATGGCTACCATAACAACGAATTTAGTCCCTTCACTTCTTTGCCGCCGCCGCTCTATATGCCTCGTCTCCTGCCTTTCTCTGATCATTTGGTCTAACCTCTCTTGGACCATGGCGTGCGCTAGGCTTGATATCGATGCAAACCGATCAGAATTGGAGCTTTCTGCTTCCTCTGAAGAAGACACACTCAGCCTGCAACTACAACACAGGGCCCTGCATCCCCTCTGTTGAAGCTTTTGCTTCTTGTGTTCTTTAGAGGCTTTCATCTTCAAGCATGAGGCATGGATCTTTGAAGGAAAATCTGTGCCAAAATAATCATTTATGAACAATGGGCAAGTGGGTCACGTTAAGCATGATTGCGTCTTGAGTTTGAGACAATGAATACGTAAAAGACTAGGGGTGGTTGGAAGGGTTACATTGGAAGGCAATTGGGGAACATTTCCATTGTAAAATGAGCTTGTGATCATGATGTATATATCTTTAATGGAACTATCCTTTATAGAAGTAGTGTTAGGTGGCCTAGTCATCAAAATTTTGTTAAAATGGAAAGGACAGGCTCCATGAAACCTTTAAATTGGTCCTTTATTCTAAAAGTTTAGGCTACCATCATAAGAATTAAAGTCAAAAATGGCCAAAAAAAAGAAAGGGTTTGGTTGGCTTCACATGCCTAGTGGGAATCAGCTTTAGTGAGTACTAACTGAACTCCAAGGACTTTAGATAGCCAATGGCTGCTGCTGCGGCCCTGAGAGAAGTGTTAATCATCAACTTGAAGCATATTCTAAATGATGCAAAGAGTCTGCTAGCAGAAAGTTTCTGATCAACTACCATGAACCTGATCAGACATTGTGATAGGAAACGAAAGAACTGCCCCATGAGACGGGTCCAGGTTTTGATGATACACAAAAGACGGTTGTCTTGATAACAAAGCATGTTCCTTGCTTTTCCACTTGTTCTTAGCCAACTTTATTCCAACTCTTCTTTTGGGTTGCAAATGATTAGATGAACCAAATTGAATTTCTCGTAGTTGCAGAGTCTAATACCTGCATTCTTCTACTGCCTACCGGTTGCCTAATTGAATTATGGATTATATCCGATAAAGATTTGCTTAGCTGGATGGAATCTCTTTTATGGATTCTTCTTTATGTTTTCGACCTGGAGGAAGAAAAGAAGGTAAACAGAAGAAAAACTATGAAAGGGGTAAGACTTACTATAAAAACACTCTTGAGTATAGCATGTGATAATCATTTGTGTGTAACATGAATTACTGACCATAATTACTAGGAAATTAATGGAGGAAATTTGGGTATTAACCACGCCAAAATGGCACATGTTGCTATGATGATCATCTGCTAAAAGTGAAGCCCAAGTCCTCAGCCTAGGCGTAATCAAAAGACAGGGTGTTCCCCTGACATTTTTGGTTACTTTTTGAGAGAACCAGGGAACAGGAAAAGAGAGAAGAATTTTAATGACTTGGGATGTTCATCAAAATCGTGGCTTTTGCAGAGTTCACGGTACAGAAAAGAGGAAAGGGCGACTGGGTAAAGGACAGAAAAAGTGCAGCAGCACGTTTTGGCCTTCAAGTTAAGAGGACGCTGCCTATCTGTAGGACTTGGTGAGTTCTTTTACACTTTCCAGATTTGAGCACTTGGGGTCATTCTGGTTCCAGTTTGTCATCTACAGCACGTTATTCAGGTGTCATTTAATTTTTCTCTATGCTGTCAGAATCAGGCTCTGGGTCTTAGGGGCAGACATTATTTCCTTGTTATTCCGACATAGTTGATTGTATTTATGATTTCGTGGGGCTAAACGAAGCAAGTTTTGCTCATGCATGCCATTGCCATCCATCTGAAGAACACCCAAAGCATTCTAGCAAATGTTTTTCTTTATAACTCTCGACCTGGCATGCACCCGAGATTGCTTTGCAAATCATATCTGCTCATAAAAATATGATGATGATGATGATGATGGTGGTGGTGGTGGTGGTGGTGGTGGTGGTGCTGGTGGTGATCCATTGTTTAGCATTCTTCTACACAAAGATGCACCCTTCGTTGGTGACACTCGTCTTGAATTAGGAAGAACCTCAGTTCCTGTGTGTTAATTTTAGAAAGCACCCACCAATAAAATCAGTAGGAAAGATTATCAGAACCATTTCCAATCAAAATTCAACCCTACAGACGGACCAACCCCAAGGTATTCGAGACCTAGTGGGCTTGGGTCCGAGCAGACCTTGACCCAGGTTACAAGCTAAACCACACTTAGATAAGCCCCAATATATTGGGACCAACTGAAAAGAATTGGACAAGAAGGCCACCTTTTTGGGTTTTCCTCCCCCGAACTACCGAGCCCAGGGCATCCGCGGTGGTTCTTCATTCATGGCTCATGATTAAGGATTCTGTTCCACAATGATCTTTCCTGAGGAGTATCTGAGTAGCTTTTTCTCTTCTTTTCTTAAAGCTACAAGCCTAAAAGGGTATCTGGAACTACTTAACCAAACCTGATGCTTCAATTGATGAAAGCAATATGTTACTCTAAGATTATACCTATAAATATTATATAAATAAATAATATTCTTTCAAAAAATAAATAAATAATACTATTAGGTAACATTTGGTTATTGACATGTTTATGCAAAGATTAAGATCATTTAATTTGGCTTATGATAAAAACATTAAAAGTAGATACTTATGTGTTCTGATACGCACCATCATAGTAAATTTGTTCTAAAATGTTTTTGTGATAATTTTTTTTATTGTTTTAGATGAAATTTGGACCATTACATAAAACAAGTGATCCAATCATTCTCGATGATCTAATCAAGATGAATAAATCGCCTGATGAAAGAGATCATCATGTACCAAACAGGGCCTTAACATATGGAATATTAGAATATGCTTTTTTTAGCGTTACAAAAAGTTTAATATATCTGAATCTGATGATCCCACCTACCCATATGAAGGTTAGGTAAGGACAAGAGCCCCTCATCATCATATATACCCGGCCTCATCTTCGAGCCAACTGGAAAACGAAACTGCGTTCTTAATTGTCGTTTCGTTGGTTAAAATTCCCGAAATACCCAGCCCTTTCGAGGGATCAGTTCCTTATTCCAGGGCGGAGTCTCCCAAGCCCGGAATATATACAGTCCCTAAAAAGACATTATTACCCTTTGAGTTTGACTTAAGAACGACCGTGCGTACGAGCTCTGGACAAATCTGATAGATTCACGCTCGCGAGGCTTAACTGAAACAGAGTAGTGAGTTAGGTATAAACAACCAAACCAAACACACAAGGTAAAAGGGATGTCTCCGTCTTTGGTCACTGATAACGGCGATGTCGCCACCGTGAAAGCCTCTCCGGTTGCCGGACGTTTAACAGCTGTTTACAGTGAGGTGCAAACGAGTCGTATCGACCACGCTCTTCCTCTCCCTTCTGTTCTCAGAAATCCCTTCAAAATCGTCGACGGTCCCCCTAGCTCTGCCGCCGGCAACCCTGGTTGGTCTCTCTCGTCTCTTACGCTTCTCTTTTTATTATTTTTTGTTTTCGATCCATTTCTTATTTATCTAAATCTTCATGCAAGTAAAGCAGCAGTCTTTAGCTCAGTTCACTGTTCACTGAACTGGAGTTTTGCTCAAAAAATAAATTTTGAGTTTTTGAATGTGAGGATTTGTTTTTCTGGCAGATGAGATCGCGAAATTGTTTCCAAATCTGTTCGGGCAACCATCTGCAATGTTGGTGCCAAACGGAGCTGACTCTATCGGATCTGATCAGAAACTGAAGATCGGCGTCGTTTTGTCTGGAGGACAGGCACCTGGAGGTCACAATGTGATTTCTGGAATCTTCGGTTAGTCCTTTTCTCGATTGCATGGCTTCAATAGCATTGCATGTGTTTCTAGAATTATGATATGAAATATGAGAATGGAAGTAAAACTTTTTGTTCTTTTGGGGATGGTAGATTACTTGCAGGATCGCGCGAAAGGTAGCATTTTGTATGGATTTAGGGGAGGTCCTGCTGGGATCATGAAATGCAAATACGTAGAATTGACTGCAGATTATATTTACCCCTACAGAAATCAGGTATGCTTTGCAAGTCTTTATTTGGCTGATTGTTTAGGTGTATTTCTTAGTAACTATTAGCTTTTGGGCATTTTGATTATTAATTAGTTTGAAATTTCTACATTATTAACATGTAAAAGATATAAGTATGAGTACATGATAAAGTAGGTTCAGCTCAACATTGCTCTTTCTGGAGAAATAGAACAGTTTAAACAGTGTACAAGAATTGCCATGCCTCCTACATAATAGTCTAGGTTCATCTTATGCACATTAGTTTTAGCTTTATATCTATGCATGTACCCATATGTGCTGACCCTTAGAACAGAGATCCCAACTGATTGCAATTCTTTATTTATTTTAACCAGGGTGGCTTTGATATGATCTGTAGTGGGAGAGACAAGATTGAAACTCCTGAGCAGGTAAGATTCTTTGCATGATTCATGGAAGTGATTTGAGTTTTTATGAACTAATAGTGGCTGAGTCAAGTGGGTATGATTTTCAGTTTAAGCAAGCTGAAGAAACAGCAATGAAGCTTGATTTGGATGGGCTTCTTGTTATTGGTGGGGATGACTCAAACACAAATGCTTGCCTCCTTGCCGAAAACTTCAGGTATAATTAGAGAATTTTTTTGTTGAGATATATAGATGCTGATGGAAAGTATGCCTTATTTCTGTACTTCCCTGGTGTGGCATTGTTTCTTCAATTTGTCAATCAGGGCTAAAAATTTGAAAACTCAAGTGATTGGATGCCCAAAAACCATCGATGGTGATTTGAAATGCAAAGAGGTTCCAACCAGTTTTGGATTCGACACTGCTTGCAAGGTAATGCCATATTTGCATTCACATTTTACAATTCTAATATATGTTTTAGTTTCTTTATTTGATCATTTATGCAAGTAGCTTTTAGATGGCCTTTCGTTGTATATGCCACTGTGGTTAGATGTGTACTCATGTTTGGTTTCTGTCATATAGATATATGCTGAAATGATTGGAAACGTCATGATTGATGCACGATCAACTGGAAAATATTATCATTGTAAGTGCTTGCAGCTTTCAAATTTCTTGAAAAAGGTTCATACTTGTGTGATGCATACAAAATTGACTCTTTTTCTAATTTGTCTGTTTGTTTACACCGGTAAAACACCTGCATACCATTCAGACTGTGGTTAGGGATAGAAATGATTTATCTGTCCCTAGCTAACGTGTTATTATTTATGTTGGTAACACCGTTCAATTCTTCTGTCTCTGCAGTTGTACGGCTCATGGGGCGTGCAGCTTCACACATTACTTTGGAGTGTGCTTTGCAGACTCACCCTAACATTACCATTATTGGAGAAGAGGTACTTTTTTCTACTATGCTTAGCTCTCTGACAACTTCTGTTGCTTGTTGCTAATAAGTTTAAAGAAGGTTCACATTTCTATAGATTTAGGACATTTTCTGTGGTTATTAGCATTTATATTCTCTGTGGAGAATTGGTTGGAAGTTTTTAGGTTTCTTACTGTTTGGTTGAAGATGATAATGTTGCCCAAAGTTTCTAGGATACTTTGTACAGCTTTCCACACAAATTTGAAGTTGATCAGAGTATATCTTGTTGCAGGTTGCTGCCAAGAAGCTGACACTGAAAAATGTTACAGACTACATAGTCAATGTCGTTTGCAAACGTGCTGAACTTGGTTACAATTATGGGGTTATTCTCATTCCTGAAGGTCTCATTGACTTCATTCCTGAGGTACTGTTGGTCATCTGCAGGTCTATTTTGTCGGATCGAATGTCCTTTCATAATGGTTTTATAATTAGGAAATATAATGCTCTGCTATTTGCAGACATCTGCATATGAGTACACTTTCTTGACGAATGTATTTGCTTTTATGTGTTTCCAGGTCCAGCATCTCATTGCTGAACTAAATGAAATTCTGGCACATGATATTGTTGATGAAAATGGGCTATGGAAAAAGAAACTTACTGATCAATCTTTGAAGCTTTTTGAGTTGTTACCTCAAGCAATTCAAGAACAATTGATGCTTGAAAGAGATCCACATGGAAATGTTCAGGTATTTACTTTGTGATGAACTAATGATGTTCCTCTAGTGATCTTTGTTTGTCTGACGTATTTGTTGGCTATCAAAGTTTATTTTTCTGCCTTTTTTACCATTAGGTTGCAAAAATAGAAACGGAGAAAATGCTCATTCAAATGGTCGAAACTGAATTGGAGAAGAGGAAGCAGGAAGGCTCTTATAAAGGCCAGTTTAAAGGACAGTCACACTTTTTCGGGTACATGACTGACCTGACCCGTTAAGTGTATTGATTATGGGATCAATTACTTGATTGATCCTGACAACATTTTTGTTTTTCTGATTTATAATTTGCAGATATGAAGGAAGATGTGGTTTGCCAACTAACTTTGATGCATTCTACTGCTATGCATTGGGCTATGGTGCTGGAGCTCTCCTCCACAGTGGAAAAACAGGGTTGATATCATCGGTCTGTTTTCCTCTTTTTCTCTGCCTTCTTGCCATCACCCGACCCTTGTCCTTTTGTAGCCCTCCTTCTGGGTTGACGTTGATATTCCATTGTGCTTTTAAACTTAATGAGCTACTTATTTTGTTTTTACATTTCATAATGTCAACAGGTAGGAAATTTGGGTGCCCCAGTTGAAGAATGGACTGTGGGAGGGACTGCTTTGACATCATTAATGGATGTGGAGAGGAGGCATGGTATAGTAACTATTCACCTCATCACCGAAGCAACTTTGTCCTTCAGAACTTTCATTCTCATTTCCTTTGTCACTATATGCTGGTGAAGAACACTCATAGAATGCACTTGAGCTCCTATCTTGGGTTAAATTTTCCATTCCATTTACTTAATGGAACTGAATAGCTGTTTTTAATGAGTAATCTGTAATTTAAAACAAAAACACCACCGGTTACAGTGGTCAGCCATTGCTGGCCATTCTCTAGTGTAAATTATGCAAGAAATTTGTCTTCAGAAATTAACTTGGCCTCCTCATAACCAGTATGTTTCTTTTTCGTTACTTTCCTGCTCGATAATTCAAGCACTTCATTAAACATTGTATCTGTGTTGCAGGTAAATTCAAGCCTGTGATCAAGAAGGCAATGGTAGAACTGGAAGGTAAGATTTGTTTTGGCACATTGTTAGATCTGCCAAAGTTGTATATTGTATATGCTATTCTAGATTCTGGCTTCTTTGCCGGACCAACTCGAAACTAAGCTACACGTTACTTGTTATGACCATTATTCAGGTGCACCATTCAAGAAATTTGCTTCCATGCGGGAGGAGTGGGCTCTTAAGAATTGCTACATTAGTCCCGGTTGGTTACGAATTTTTTATAGAGCTTTCACTGCCTCTGAATGAAGTATCGGTTTATCTTTAACTTTTATTCTCCTTGATTGAAATTCTGGTTGCAGGTCCTATTCAATTTGTTGGGCCAGTTTCAAATGCAGTTAACCACACTCTGCTCCTTGAACTCGGTGCTCAAGCTTAGAGTTATTGATTAAATTACTGCTTTAATAGAAGCTTAAGTCTCTAGAGACAGCAGGCCAAACCTAAAGTCTGTTTTGCTTGTGAAGGTCCTGTTTCTCTCTTCTTTTAAGAATTTTGACATTTATTCTTTTGTGGGTTTTGGAAGATGAAATTAGCCTTGTGTGGATTTTCAAGCTCTAAAGAACCAAATATCTGCTGCGTCAAGGACTTGAGTTTGGACTTCTCCAATGTTCTTATTGATTAATATATGGCAAAGGGAAAACAAAGCAAAGGGTTCAATAAGAAAGAAAAAACCATGTCAGAATGAGAACAAAACCTGAAATAATGCTGGACCCGTCAGAATGAGCAGCCCAATCTCATCAATGGGTACTGTTAGGAATTTAAAATCATTTCTTGAGAATCCCATGCTTTCTCCTCGACATATCTGATTCTGTTCTGTATTTGCTTGCCTGCTATAAAAGGATATTCAAACCCAAGGAACCAGCCGCCACTGCCCTGTTTTGCAAGATCTTTCAGATTGGGGGGACATCAGCCAATCCACCATTAGTCTCATCGAGTGAAAGTGCGTCCTTGGCAAAATCGTTAGCAACTCTGTTAGCATCAATCCAATCAAATTATTCTGCCATAGACTATAGCCAAATGTGCCAGGGAATTGGGGTGGATCATTCCCAACCTAATCAAAGGATTGAGAAAGCTCTGCCGCCACCTCTTGCTTGCCCTGCTCTACCTTGCCTATGGAGAGGTTGCTTGACTGCTTATTTATGAACCCATCACGTGGATTGTGGAAAATAAGTGGTGAAAGAGTAGTCAATCTCGAAATAATCCTTTGTTACTTTTAGCCAACTCTGCAAAATGATGACCCAAACCATGCTACAAGACAACAATGCAAATGCAAAAGATAATCTAGGCACATGCATGCATCCTCATAATTATAACGACTCGAATACCATATCTGCCAATAGAGTACAATCAAAAATGGGTTTTTCTTCCTCTTGCCAAATAGAACAAAATGAACCATATGTCAAATGATCCAACCTAATACCAATAGTATCAAAAGCTTCTGCCATGGACTCAGGATTTAGCAATGATGGGATAAAGCATTCTGTTGCTCTCACCCCTCCAAAAGTTTTAACCTTTGCCCTCCATCTCTGAACCAATTAGGAGATAAGTCCAAATGCATGCAAGAAAGATGGGTCCTAAATAACCTTCACCAAGCAAATTTTGCTTTCAGAATAGATATGGCAAATGGTGAGGAGATTTGCATTCACATGTTGCACAATGTTCTTCTCGCATGCACAAGGGGGAGGGAGAGAAGGCAATTTAGTTAAGCATTTTAAATAATTTCGAAAAGAAGCATTGGAAAGAGTACTGGTTGGGTAAGCATCAAATCATAACGACCCAGAGGAGAAGTTGTGCAAGAGACAATGATAAAACAAGCAAACGACTTGAAAGGAATAGAAACTTTTTAAAATATACCTGTCTTTTTGTCCTGGAGCTTTGAAGTTAGTGGTAATATCTTGCAATTTACTACTCCTTACAAGAAAAAGAGTGAAGCCCAAGGTCCTTGTGCTATGAGCCAAATACGGTTCAGAAACATGGCTGCTTTGGTCTCACGTCCCTGCCATTTACCCATGGGACTTCTCGAGGGTAACTAGATAAGAACATCGTTTAAATATGTTTAATTTTATTAATTAATTAATTTTGTCAAAGAAAATTGTCCAGATTTTTGTCATGCAAGCAGACAAGTACTCTAGGCTTTAAAATCCATCTTCAAGAATGTGACATATTATAGAAACTGCCTATGATCAAAGCAGAAAGTGATTGCAAGGATTCAAAATAACTTGTGGTATATATTAATGCTCAATTTAAATTTCAATGACCCAAAATTCCTATCTGATAACAGATCAGCTTTTTATCCCACTCCCCACAACACTCCCCTCAAAAAAATTAAAGAAAACAGAGAATAAAACAGGTCATGTCAGTCACTAATAATTCTTATGTCATCTACCAAGTATTTCTTTTTGGTGAGTAGGAAATGATACAATGCACGTACCAGTTTCTGTGAATTTCATGGCTGCCTTTCAATAGAGTGATATAATGGCGATTTGATTTTTACAATACTTTTCATACCCTGTTTTGGCTTCACTTCTTCTCCAGAGGAATCAAGAAGGAAAACGACTCTTGGTTTTGGTTTCATTCCCCCTTGGCATGCCATTTGGATAAATGATGAAAGGCGATAGATAATCTTCAGAAACGTTAATTCCTTTCAATTTTTTTGGGAAACCATCAAAGCAACAGTTTTCAGAAGATGGACCACCTTCCCCCTGTCTCCATTCCTCTTTCCACTTCACATAAAGTCAAACAACAGTTTTCAACTTTCACCTTGGCTGATTTTGCTCATTTCTCCTTGGCTTGGGACGAGAGATCTTTGTTCCGGATAGGATTGCACAATCGGGTATTTAACAAGCAGTATTTAGAGTATTAAGGTTTCTTTATTTTTTATAATTGAAAAAAAAAGATTTAAATTTTACTTTTTAAGTAAGAGATAATACTAAATGTTCAAGTATACTTAAAGTATTAAGATTATCATGCTAAAATACCTTATTCGTGTGCAATCTTAATTCTAAAATTACCATGGTACTAGCATTTCTAGTAGCATTCTGAGTGCTTGGTTTCCCCAATTAGTTGCCATGCAATAAAGATTTTACTGAAGAATGCTTTTTACCTTTCTATTTTGCCATGCCTCACGCTGAAACCTGCAGGTTCCAAGCAAACAGTACACTGACTGGCTGAAGATTCAGAAACTAGTCCTTTCAAGATCCGAGAGACTGTATCGGTCCTTGTTTCTTCCCTGTTATCTATTGCAATCCTAGCTTGTCTTAGGTTGTCTGCTAGTCTATTTGTTCAAACATTTAAGGATGTTACTACCTTGTAGAACAAGGTTGGAGCCCTAAAATTGACACCTTGTCATTGAGGGATCACTGTTGAGGACTTTGTTTCTTCATCATTGAATTAGGATGGAATTTATAAAATTTGCAAATTTATCCTTTCTTATTGTGTTTTTGTCATTTTCATTGAACATCAATAGTGGGTATGACAAGCCTAATTAGGAAATTGGGTGAAAGGATTGAAATACTGAAATTGGGTAATGGACCATTCTAGGGAGTTTGTAATCATTGACAAGAGATTAAACATGATTAAGGAAAGTTGGCAAAAAGGTTGTTAAGCATCAAACTTAAAACATAGAAACCTAGCATGTGAATAAATTCATAAGTTATTATCACAATATGATAAATTTGAATTTGATATCAGGTTAAGTGTTTAATTTAAAATTAATTGATAATTGATAAAAAAATTTAATTAAGATATAAGTTCATAAGAAATTTAACGTTTAATCGTTATGAGATAACATCAACCAATAAAAAAAAACTACATAAGTAAAATCATCATCCTTCACTTCTTAAGAAAAGAAAACTTATAATATATATGTAAATATTAGCATGAATGCAAAAATAAATATTAATCAAGCATCTTACACAAGGGCAATGCATTCTCTCAAAGAGGTACATGATCACAACTATTACATTTCAATCATCTAATGCATGACATAAACACACATAAAAACAGCACATGTCTCATTCTCGATATGTCGAGATTAAACAGTTACGACACCTTAACCCTTTTAAAGCCTTTTAAAATGGCAATGGACCATCTGATGTTAACAATGGATATAATAAATGAGCTAACCTGTCCATTTGATGCACCCTCATCGTATACGCATTGCCAATTTGCCATTGTACTTTTTGGTGTAGGGTGCTGCTGGGGGCGCACTCTAGCTCCTTCTACCTATTGCAGGGATTTAAAAGAGGAAAACAGGAAAAGATAAAGCTATTTTTTTTATTACTACAAACCCAATGAAACATGGAAAGCTGGAAACCATACCAATGCAAATATTGCCACGGAACTGCTGCTGGAAAAAGCTCTGCTGACTATGAACAACACTGAAGAATGGCTTTAATCAGTGAAACCCTTTTACTCGAATATTTCAACGCATTCTTAATTTTATGCCTTTATGTTGTTCTCGTGTTCTTGAAAATCGTGCCCCATCTCTGCAAGTTCACAGTTAATTCGATTGCATTTCTAATCGGATACCACCCTCTTTTTTTTTTTTCCTTCTAAGAATCAAATTGTCAAACATTTGTGATTGTACATCGCATAAACCGATTGTCTGTCTCAGCACAGAATGAATAAGCAGGGAAATTGACGTAGACAATAAAGAGATAAATTTGGTCACCTAGCCTTGACAGTACTGGATCGTCAATCAATACTCTTTGACGCCATGGGGCGAGAAGAGAGCAAGCACAGCTATACCAATGGCAACAAGGCAGCTGCCATCAAAGAAAATGGGGTCCTTTTTGGGGAGATATATGGGACCCAATTCAACAAATGAAATAATGGGTGTTCTCTTTAAGCAATTTTTTCTTACTTCGCTTGCTTGCACATGGCTCATCATTGTGGTCACAAACAAAACGCCATTGACAAAGGGGGAAAATTCCTTCTCAAAAATCTCAGCCATTCTCTTTAATCTTTCTCACTCTTTCACTCCTAGATTCCCAGTCCCCACACTGTTCACCATTACACCACACTCTCCGCCAACCCAACCACTTACCCATCACCCCTTCACCCCCTTGGGGTCCAGCCTAAGTTGTCATTTTTGTTAGCCTCAATTATGGTTTTGCATGGTTTCAGCCGTGATATCTCTCTCTCTGTTCTTTTTCTGTAATACCATTTGACTTCTGTCTATCACATGGTTCAGATTCATGGTTCATTGTTTTTTCGTGGGACCGCCTAAACTTGAACATTCTTTCTATCAATTAAAGTACTTGGTGATTTTCAACCAGTGCCAATTTTGTATTTATATTGATTTTCCAAACTTTTTTTAATTAGAACGTCATGTATACAAAAGGATCCGTTGAAAACTTTAGATTCAAGTTTCGATCTACTTATCAGAAAAAAGGGTTTTTTTTTACTTGTATTATAACACCTAAACTATATAAGAAATCGAATCGTATTGGATCAATATTTTCATTCCCTAATTGTTCTTTCGTCATTGGAGGGGACCAATCTTTCTCATGGATAAGAAAGAAGAAAGCCAGCTAATAGGCTAGTTGTGACAGAGAGAATTACCTAACACGCGGCTTTAAGAGTTTGGGTCCTCTCCCGTTTATCACCTAGTCCAGTTCAAGGATTGCTTTAATTATTGCTAAATTTGTCTCTTAATCAAAAAAGTTTCACACTTTACTAAAGCAAAGTAGAGATTATGATCTGTGTAAAGCACGTGTCAAGGATATAACTTTGGAGATTAAGAACATGAGATGTTGGATGTCAACGCTCGGTTAAGCCCTTTTTTTTTTTCTCTTTTTACATAATGAAGAGACGCCATGAATGTGAGCACCAACACCTTCCCCCACATACCACCTTGATATGACATCACTCTTTACTTCAGGGAGTGGCCTTATTTGCACATAGGTCAACCCACTTGCATATCTATCTCATTTACACAAGTTAACATCACCTTCTTCTTCCTCCTCTTAGGATATGACCATCAAGAATCTAGCACATCAACTTCCTAGGTTCAAGGATCAAACGGCTAGGATATTCTAAATAAACCCATTTTATGTATTTAATTCTTCACATTTTGATTTATTTATTTTTATAATAATAAGATAGTTTGATACAATACTTCGTGACAAGAAAAACACTTAACTATATTTATCATATGTAAATGTGGTCATAATTCAATAACCAATGATAAATATGGTTTACCTTTTAGCAATTTTCTTATTAATACATATTCAATCTTAATTTTTTTTTGTTTTGTCTTTTTTTTGCACTTTAATTTATCATTTATAATAATATAATCGATGATATAATAATTCGTGACAAGAAAAGTACCTAACTATGTGTATCATGTGTAAATGTGGTCTGAATTCAATAACCAATGACAAATGCGAATTACCCCTTTTAGCAATTATCTTAATAATAGTATATATGATGAAGACAACTCTATAGCTTGTTGATTAAAGAAAAAAGTTTTTTTTCCTTTTTTCTTGCTCACTCATATCTTTACTTTAATGTTAGCAACATAATAACAATAATAATAGACAATTTATTGAAAGTGAAAGGAGAGAATAATTAATCATAGAGAGGAAAAAATTAAAAGGGAGTAAATGGCAGCCATGTTACTTAAATTATCATTTATTATTGTAGCTGGAGTATCTAATCTACATTTTTCTTTTTATTAGCTTTTTTGAATTCTAATAACAATTTTCCATGCTCCCTCTTTCATGCATAAATGGACCCCCAAAAATTCTTATTTCCCAAAGTCCCCCCTAACTTTCTTGTCCTTGTCAATTGCATCCCCATGTGGAAGGATAAAAAGCCTTAGGAGGCTAACAATGGAAAGAATTTTATTTTATTTTTCTCTTTCATCTTCATTGTCTCTCATATTCTCCTTTTTCTTTTGTTTATTTCTCTGTTGGGGCCCCTCCCTTTCTGGTCCTTCACTCAAAGAGAAAAAAGTCTGGCCTTTTTCCTCTCAAAAACATAACAAATTCTTCAACTTTTCCCTCTCCATCTTTGTTTTCTACCAAAGAAATGGAGACCCAAAGCAGTGTAAACAACAAAGAAGCCAGAAATCTATCACCATGCAGCAGTGGAAGAAGGAGTAGCACGAGCAGCCATTCGAGTTCACCCGAATTCGAGTTCTGGATGGTCCGAAACCCATCTTTTCCTCAACCCGATCTCATCTCTGCTGATGAACTCTTTGTTAATGGCGTTCTGCTACCTCTCCATCTGATACCCAGCAAACAATCCGAAGAGAGCCCCCGACCGGAACCAAACTCGTCGGCATCAGAACCTCCTGTACCCGACCCAGAACCGGAACCTGGCCCTCCTATAACATCGGAGCCGGTTACTGTCTTGTCAGCTTCGAAACGGTGGAGGGATATTTTTAAGAAAGAAAAGGGCAAAAATGGAGCAAAGCATCAAGAAGACAAGGATAAAGAGAAAGAGAAGAAGAAAGAGAAGAAGAGTCAGAGTCAAAGCGGAGCGAGTCCAGCTGAGTTGAATATAAATATTTGGCCTTTTTCACGGAGCAGATCCGCGGGTACCAGCGGGACCCGACCCCGGATGACTGCCGGGGCTGCGGGTACCCGGAAGGTAAGTAGCGCCCCGTGTTCCCGAAGCAACTCGGCGGGTGAATCCAAGTCTCGAAAGTGGCCGAGCAGCCCCAGTCGAGCAGGGGTTCACTTGGGCCGAAGCAGCCCTGTATGGCAGGTCCGGCGTGGAGGTTCTGGTGTCAGGAGCTTCGACGTTACGTCTCGGAGCGCTGAAAAGAGTGGCGGTAAAAAAGAAGTTACCGAAACTCGACGCGGTAAAATCGCCCCTAGTAACGGTGGAAACGGTAATAAAGCCAAGGTTTTGAATTTGAACGTGCCAATGTGTATCGGGTACAGGCATCATTTGAGTTGTAGAACCGATGAAAATAGTGCCATACTCGCCGGCGGCAGCGCCGACGGCACTAGCAGCCGCAACGGAAGCGGCGACAGCGGCGCAAATGGTAGAAGCAGCGGGCCTAACGTTGGAAGCGGTAGTAATTTTTTTAATTTGCGTAATCTTTTCACTAAGAAGGTTTACTAATGTGTGTTAATCAATATTAACCTTTTTTTAATCAACTATTAAGTTGGATTTTCATAATTTTCTTGTTTATCCTTTTTGCTTTTCCCCTCTTGAATTCCTGTGTAAACAGAAAAATTAGTTCTCTTTTTAAGTCTTGCTTTACTTGTAATCTGTTAAATAGTACTATGATTAAGTCTTAATTAGAGAAGTCGAATCTCCCGATTTCAAAAAGTTATTTCACTTTTTTGTCATTTAATTTTTTCTTCTTTTATTGTTTTTATATAAATTTTTAATTTATAATAAAAAATTAAATTTAATTATCATGTAGACATAACATATTAATTAATATTAAATTAAACGGTTATTAATTTTTCATTACGGATTATGGATTAAGGGTTTATGAGAATACCTAGCCATCTTCCACATCTTGAATACAAATATATTAGTAGTATACTCGGTATTATTCTTTTTTGCGATTTTGAAAAAGTGTTTCAATAGTTTTTTAAAATTGAATTTTGAAATGAGAAATATTTAATGTGATGTTTGTATTTTAAAAAAATTTATTATGATATCAGAATTTACATTCTATTTAACATCAATAAAGAGAGTTGGTGACGTACCCATCAACCAATCAAATATCGACATGTGATTAAAGAAATGTCATGTAGTGTCCAAGATCATTTTAATACATACATGATAATTTTAATATAATTGATTGATGTATGTGTAAATTTTTAATTGGTTGACTGATAGATCAACAGCGTTCTCTAACATGTAATGGATTGGAATAGATTTGATAAATGGAATGAAAATTTTAATATGTCCTTTGATCATTTTAATTCATCAATTGATGCATATGTTAATTTTGAATTGATCGACGGATACATCAACAGTTATTTTTATCAATATTAAAGTTTGGGTTGGGATAGATTGATAAATGAAATAAAAATTTTAATATGTACTTGATTATTTTTAATACCTTGATTAATATATATATATGTCAATTTTCAATTAGCCTATGACAATTCTTTTTAATAGTTGAAATATATTGATAAACGAAATGAAAATTTTAATACATCGATCGATCAATGTATGTGTCAAATTTTAATTAAATGATGGATACATTAATAATTGTCTTTAATGGTGTTAAGATTTGGGATAAATTGATAAACGGAATGTAATTTCAGATATTACATTAAACATTTTTATAATATAAATATCATAATATATATATATTGAAAAGCATTATAATGGATATATCAAATATTTTCTGAAAATAAAGGATCAAATGATACACTATATCTTTAAACCCAAAGTTTGACACTGTGTTGGCCCAAACTCTGTCAGTTCTAAACTCGCCGGCCCAATAAATTTAAAGGCCATACCAACAACAGGCAAACTATGATAGTTTTTAGATAATATAAAAATTACTTGCATAGTGAAAAGCTCTTAATCTATGATAATTTCTTTATCCAGGTCTTTAATCTTTATCTTATTCAAATGCGTCATTAATATTTAATTTTGTATTTAAATAAGTTTTTAATTTCAACAAAAAATTAACTGTGGTTAGACTTAATGTCAATTCATATTTTATGTAAATATGACATATGACATCATATGACATAGACAATTGATATTATCAGTGTATTTGGTCATGTCAATTACCATGTGACCACATCAATTTGTAAGATTGTATATCAATTAAGTCTGATTATAAAAAATTTTAACTTAAAGGTAATTGTCTTTAGACCTAATATCAAAGTATATTTTTGGTAAACATGATATGTGGTATATGACATGAGGTTAGTGTATTTAGTTATATTAATTACTACGTGGTCACATCAGTTTATGAGATCATATGTGTAAATATAAAAATATCAATTGAAATTAAATCTGATTACTATTAATTTTTTCAAGATTAAGAGTTTATTTGAGTATAAATCAAAATTTAAAAACTTATTTAATTACAGTAAAAATAAAAAATTTCAATCGATTTTCTTTTTAACTGGTTGAAAAATGAATTCATTTAGTGTTTTTTTGTTCTTTCTAAAAGGAATTACCGGGTAGTATAGATTTCTCGTTGAACAAGAAACTGACTGCGGAAGACGTTGGCAACACTGAACGTCGCCATCTGAGAAGCCCTTTCCAATTAACCACCGACTTAGGGTAGACTGTCAGCTTCGTCCCGTTCGATAGTCTGAACCAAACACAAGATTGAAGGGAGGCTGAGAAAGACGTGTTTCTCTCCGATGGTGGTTTTGGAGCGACTAGCACGGACTGCTCGGTCATGGCGGAAGATCGCCTCTCCCAACATCCTAACTGCTTCACGTGCTTCATCACGTGACCTCCCTGCTGCTTTCTACCACCGTAAGCTTCTCTTTGTGTCTCTTTGTTTGTTCTTTTGTTTCCTGTAATCAGTAAACGTTTTAAAAGCTTGGTGAGAGGAAATTAGGAATCAGATATGGCTGTTTGCAATTTAGTCAAGCGGAGTTTACTCCATAAAATTTGACTGTTACATGATGATCAACGTGGTTTTTGAAATGTTATGCGAAAGTCCGGATAATCAAGATTCTTGACGTTTTCCAGTGCGGACTTGCTTTGTGAAATTATTAAGTTGAAGACTTGAGAGTGATTTGGCTTAAATTTGTTATTTGGAGAAAGATTTTGTCTTTGTGCATATATGCTGGTGGACCAGTGGTTTATTGCTAGTGAAGGTTTAGGGATTCTTGCTGATGTTTACTTCAGGTTGCCTAGAAACTTTGTAGCAAAGGGATTGGGAAATAGAGTGCTTATGTCATGTTAGGGTGCATTTTCTTCTAAGGATTCTTATCATTGGCTGTTGGCGTATGCAGGTTCTTCAGGATGCTTAAAATGTATATTGGATACCCAGCAGCTAAGGTTGGCAGCTGCTTCTTCAGGGTCATATTCTATGCTTCCAGCTGTTTTAGCTGGTTTGCTTGGAGCTGGAGTGCTAGAAACAGCTTATGCCGAAGCTGATGAGGTTTGTGCAATTAATATTTCTGGGCAGAGAGTAGTTGCTGATGTCTCTCTGCATTTATATTTTTTATCTTTTATTTTTTGTCTATTTTGTATTGTTGTTTTTGAAATTAGCAACTGACCTATGCTGTGCTTCAATCGACATTAATTCTAACATGTCAAGCAACCTTTCCTCTCTCTAATGCTTAAAGTGTTTGCCAGAATGTGTGCCATAAGCTTTTACTTGTTATGATGGATTTGAGTTGCATTATTTGAATTGATTTTAAAACGAAACTAGCCTCTTGCAGGTTGCTGCCAAACCTCCTCTTCCATCAGAAACTCCTGCAAGTCATGTCAACCTTGAGGAAACTGCCAAAAAAGAGCGGCAGCGAATTGAACAGTTGCTTAAAGATAAAGGAATGAAATATGGTTCTTATCCAGGATTTACTGTTGCTATCAAGGGCCAAAAGGTTGTTTTATTTCGTTTCAGTTTATTTCTGTTTTTTCTTGATACCCTACCATGATTGATGGGTTAGAAAGAGTGGATCATGTGAATGAACTAGGTTTTTTTTTTTCAATTTTTTTGGATGATTTATAGTGTGTTCTTTGTTATATCAAGTCACTCTTTTTCATCTGTAAATTGGTAGTATGTGTATAACTGGATTTATGCTATTTCTGGCCAGCTCAAGTATTTTTAATAGGAGTGCAGTTGTTGTAGGTTACAATCAAGTTCCAGATTCCTCCTTCATGTGAAGTTGCACAATTGATTGCAAACCTAGTTTCCAATCTTGGACTGAAGGTCGAAGAGCGTGGTGGTGGTTCGGATATACTATTGCGTGCATGGGACAGGTTGTCAATGATGAACTTTATTTTAGTTTTAACTCCTGTTGTTGCACTTATTTTGACATTAAAATTATGTGATGTTATTAATGTTTCCAACTTTTTGTTCTTTCAGTTCAGTAGCTTGGCAGCTGACACTTAATCCACTACAGAAACAGAAGGAAACTGGAGTAAATGAGGGGCATTCAGTAGATAGGAATGGAGATGGAGGGGATTTATGCATCCTCATTTTCCATTCACTTATAAGTTCAGATAAAGCGGTTGGTCTTAATTTCTTATAGTTTCTGAAAACATTGTAGTATGAATGACATTGCATTATTCTTTTTATGTTTCACAAATTAACTGATTGATCAGCTGTACAAAATTGTTATAGGAAATTGAGTTTTTAAAGCAAGGAAGTTTGAATCCCAGTGAGCTTGATGCCTTGGTATCTGTCTTACAACTAGCTGGTGGAAAGTTGGGACAAAGTAAGAGTCGGGTAGGAAAACCAAGGGAAGGTTCTTCACAGATGCCATCTGCAGAAAAATCAATTGCTAGCTTGGAGGCCATGGGGGTAAGAATTTATGGACTTGATGCGCCACATCAGAATTCCTCATACAGTGAGATGTCATGGGACAATATTGCTGGATATGATCAACAAAAACGGTATGTAGAAAACTGAGTGACTATTATATTCCTTGTTGATTCGTTTTCAGTCAAACATAGGTTTTTAACTCATACAGTTGTTTGATTTGCAAGCAACGACGGTGTTTCAGAAAAATATAAGATATATGTATATATAACTTTTCATTGTTTCAGAGAAATAGAAGATACAATTTTACTGGCTCTAAATAGCCCTGAAGTATATGATGATATTGCTCGTGGGACTCGTTGTAAATTTGAGTCAAATAGACCTAGAGCTGTGCTCTTTGAAGGACCTCCAGGTTTGCTTTCAACCGAAAATGAATTATTGATTTATGTTCTTGAAAATGCAATTTTCAACTAATTCATTTATGTCAAAATTTTAAATATTGCAGGTACAGGGAAGACGTCTTGTGCTCGTGTTATTGCTAATCAGGCGGTGAGTAACAAGTTTTTTATCTGGAACATTGATGGGAATCACCATGAACATACACACATTCTTAAGTAAAGTTTTAAAATAATATATGTTGCTTGGAATAATAATTTGCTTTATTCTTTATAGAATAAGTCATATTAATATGATGGTTTCTTTAGGAGATTGTGTTATTTGCTTCTGTAATGAACTGAAGAATGATCATGCTTTACAGGCTGTCCCATTGCTCTATGTGCCACTAGAGGTTGTCATGTCAAAGTACTATGGTGAAAGTGAACGTTTGATGGGGCAAGTGTTCTCTCTTGCCAATCAGCTCCCAGATGGTGCTATCGTATTTTTAGATGAGGTAAATGAAACAAGTAATGATTAATCCATAGTTCCTTCCTGTGTATTTATGAGCCTCTGGTTTCCATACTCTTCACTCTTACCTTTAAGTCAATTTGCATTAAAGTTGTATAAGATTGTTGATAAGACTGCCTCTGTTACAGGTTGATGCTTTCGCCATTGCTCGTGATGGTGAAATTCATGAAGCTACACGTCGAGTTTTGTCAGTACTATTACGACAGGTGAAACTGGATTTTCCGGTGGTTTCCACTTCTAGTGAAGATGAGCCTCTTAATAATCTGTTAAAAACATCAGCGCTTGGTTATTTTAGGTATTAGGAGTTTTGTTTCTTATTATTTCCTGCATGCAATGGCCTTTACCCAAAAAAACAAAAGCAATAGCTAGTAGGGAATGACTATTTATGTGCAGGAAATAGGCAAGCTAATGAAGTGAGTAACCCAGGCTATTTCCTGCATATCAATTGCAGCCTGCTAGTAATTGACTCTGTCTCTCTGCCAAACTGTTATGCTGTATGGATTAGTAATCTATTGCCAGAATCCAAGATGATGCTTAAACATCACAGAAGAAATGATTGTGGAGTAGAAATCCTAATGTTATAGTATTTGTGCTTTTTTTTTGTTCATCCGTTGTATTCGATTACTAATCATGCTCCATGGAAAGCATTCCAAGAATCATCCTTTTGCCTTCATCATACACAGGCCTTATGCATTAACCATTTTTATTGCAACCCACTATCTTGTATGTGTAAGTTTTTTGGACACCTAAATAACGAAGCTATTATGGTGCCATAATGAAAATGTATTATTCTTTTTACAGATTGATGGATTTGAACAGGATAAGAAAGTGGTTGTCATTGCTGCAACAAATAGAAAACAAGATCTTGATCCTGCATTGATTAGGTATGAAGATGCAGTCTCTCATGCGGAGGCTAATTATAACTTAAGCCGATGAAATGTTTCTGAATCACGCCGTTTATGTTCTCAGTCGTTTTGATGCAATGATTGGCTTTGGCCTACCCGATGAGCAAAACCGTCGGGAAATAGCAGCTCAGTATGCAAAGCACCTTACAGAATCTGAGTTAATTGAACTTGCTCGAGTCACAGACGAGTAAGTCTAACTTTGTTATCTTCACTGCTTGAGTAGATGGATTCTCCCAAAAATGACTGAACATATGTTGCAAAAGATTCTCTTTTTCCTTGTATATATTTTGTTTCTATCTAAAAGTCTTCTATTAGTAGCATTTAAACTTTCTATTTTTCTTTTGTTGTGACATTCATATCTAAGCTTTGCAAACATAACTTATTTTCTGCTACTTTACAGCATCCCTTTCCTTTGCCTATTCCTACCATAATAAATTTGGAATTACTTTAAGACTTTCTTGCTTCTCACTCTTTACTGAGCATTGCCATTTGGCTATCCAGAATGTCTGGGAGGGACATCCGTGACGCATGCCAACAAGCAGAGCGGTCATGGGCATCGAAGGTATAGTTCTCCATCCCTCAAGTCTCCATGTGTTTCGATCTTTACCGTTACCATGTTGCCTATATGCCTATTTACTTTCCATTCACGGATTTTACAGCTAATTCGAGGACAAGCAACTAAAAATGAAGAACAACAGTCTCTTCCTCCTTTGGAAGAATACATCAAAAGTGCCATGAACCGCAGAAAGGCTCTACTTAGTGTTGCAGAGCAGAGAAACCAAAATTCAAATCTGCGTACGAATAGACCTCATTTAGATTTTGGAGTTCTAATTGATTAAAGTATATACAGAGAGACAAACATGGCAATCATTTACAGTCTGCATTTAATCTTTGTAATACATTTTTCCTTGAGATAGTGGTTAGGACACAAGTGGTCATTGTTACTAACAAAAACGAGAGAGGCAAAATATTAATAGACTACTTGTACCTAACGGAAGATTTCCTAGGTTTCATGTACATCAACATTTCTCTTCAACGGTGTTAACAGTCAGGATAAAATTGATAAATAGAATGAAAATTCAAGAATCTTGCACATAAAACAGGTTCGTGTTGGGCTGCCTTGAACCCAAAAGCTAACACATTGTGTTGGTCCAAATTTTGTGCGGCTCTAAATTTAATTTTTAATCATAATCTCAAGTGAGTTAATGAACACTTGCCCTCGAAAAGAATATAATCAATGGATACATAAATTTAATTGTTAATCAATTTTGTTAATTTGATGATACTTCAATATTAGAAGTATAACTTTATCTCAATATTGAAAGAAAGAAAAGAGTGACGAACATAAAAAAAAATTTTAAATATTTCATATGTAAGTATTAAAGTTATTCACAAGTTTGGAGTAAAATATTTATTTTGAAAATTAATCTATCTGCTTGAAATTATAATTAAAAATTGATGAGTTTGTGTATTTTATTTATTTATTTTTATTTTCAATAAAACTATAATCTAAATGAATCATTATATTTTACTACTCGCTTATTAATAGCAACTTTATAAAGATATGAAAGGGTTTAAATAGTATAAATATATGAATACATGTATGAATATTCATTATTTTACGATTCAATAATTTAATCAAGTAGGCTAAATCAGAAAATAAAATACAGGATTATTAAATTTAATTATGTATATTTAAATTTGGATGTAAATTAGATAAGAGTATAATTTAATTTGAACTCTTAAATTTGATTATGTATACTTAGATTTGGATGTAAATTATTTAAGAGTACAATTTGATTTAATCTCTTAAATTTGATTAAAAATATTTAAATTTGAATATAAATTAGATAAAAGTATAATTTGATTTGAATTTTTAAATTTGATTAAGTATCTATAGATTTGGATTAAATTAGATAGGAGTATAATTTGATTTGAATTCTAAAATTAAATTTGATGATGTATATTTAGATTTGTATATAAATTAAATTAAAATAAGGATATAGTTTGAATTTCATCGAAATTAAGTCTCTTACATTATTTATATTTTGTTTCATTCCGCTCGACGCTTTGAAACAAACACCAGGGAAGAGAGGCTGAGCTCGACGCTTTGACACAAACACAAGAGAGAAGAGATGCTGAGAAAGTCACGCTTCTCTTCAATGGCGGTTTTGGAGCGACTAGCAAGGACTGCTCGGTCATGGCGGAGGATCCCCTATCTGAAAACCCTGATCCCTTCACGTGCTCCGTTACGTGAAGTAGATCGTAGCGAGTACTGTAAGCTTCTCTCTGTCTTAATTCGAAAGACAATGTTCTGATTGCATTATGAAAGTATAAAGTTGAAGATTTGAAATTGCTTTGGCTTAACTTTGCCATTTTTGTTTTTATTTTTTTGAAAATTCATATGTAATTAGGAACAGAGTTCACTCCTATGGTAGCTATACCGAACCAAGCCTATCCCCTGACATCAAAATCACACATCAACACTCTCCTATACACATGAAATCCCAACCAGCTGGTAATAACCCAGAGAATTCCAGCTTACAACCTGTACAAGGCATAAAAGATCCACCAACCAGCTGGTACAAAAGAAAAACAAAAAGTTCCAGCCCTTAACCTGCATATACAACCAGAAGCCATCATTAACTTTGCTATTTGAAGAAAGATTTTGTCTTTGTGCATATAATTGCTGTTTGTTTGTTTTTTTTGTTTTAATTTATGTGCTGGTTGAGCAGTGGTTTATTGAAGGTCTCATTCTTGCTGATGCTTAGATCAGGTTGCCTAGAAACTTTCTAACAAGAGGAATGAGAGATAGAGTGCTTATGTCATGTTGGGTGCATTTTCTTATAAGGATTCTTATTATTTGCTATATAGTTTTAGTTGGTGCAATTGGAGCTGGAGCTGGTTTTGTTGGAGCTCTAGTGCTAGTAGCACCTTCTGCTAACGAGGTATGTGCAATTTCTATTTCCAGGCAGTAGATGTTGATGTCTCCCTGCATTTCTATCTTTATCCTTTATTATTTGCCTACTTTGTACCCTGACCTATGCTCTGCATTACGCAATGTTAATTCTAACATGTCAAGCCCCCTTCCCTCTCAAAGTTTTTGAACAGAATGTGTGCCATAAGCTTATCCCTGTTATGATATTTGAGCTGCATTATAAGCTCAGACAAAGCGGTTGGTCTATTGTTGTATGAATGAGATTGCATTGCATTATTCTTTTTATGTTTCACAAAGTAACTGATTAATGTGCAAATTGTTATAGGAAATGGTTGCTCAGTATGCAAAGAAACTTTCAGAATCTGAGTTAAATGAGTTACGTGAAGTTGCTCGAGTGTAAGTCTGACTTTGTTATCTTCATTCTTCAAATTATGTTATGCAAACATGTGGATGCATCCCTTTCTTTTGCTTATTTCAACCATAATAAATTTGGAATTTAGATTAAGACTTCTCTTGCTTCTCACTCTTGACTAAGCAGAACGTCATTGCCATCTATCTCTGGAACCGACATCTTTGATGTGCCATACATGTATGGAAGGGACATCCTTAGTATGTGCCAACAAGCAAAGCGGGCACGGGTATGTATACTTCTCCATGGCTCAAGTCTCAATATGTTTCCCTCTTTACCATTACCATGTTGCTCTATATGCTTATTTACATCCATTCGTGGCTTTTACAGCTTATTCGAGAACAAGCAGCTAACAATGGAGGAGTACAGAAAGAGTGCCATGAATCAAAGAAAGCCTCTACCTAGAGTAGGGAAACCTAAACCTAAATCCAGAACCCGTACATGCAGATTTTTATAGTTTTTCTTGTTTATCCTTGAGTTCCCCTCGCCTTGAATGCTTGTCTAAACAGAAAATTACTTCTCTTTAGGTCTTACTTTAGCTGTGATCTGTTAAATACTACTATAATTAAGGTTCAATTAGAGTTGTCGGTTTTTGCTTATTTTACCCCCTTTTTTTTGTTAGTTTTATTCTTTATTTTTTTTATTTTATTCATGTGAGTATTGAGTCCGTAACGAAAAATTATATTTAATTATATAGTTTCGTCAATTGAATCATAAAATCATGTAATAGGTTTAAAAAGGCAATATGAAAAAGAAAAGTCACTTTAATTTTTTATTATGAATTAAAAATTTACATGAATAAAGTAAAAAAAATATGAGTTTGTAACTAAAGAGTTAATCCTTTGAGGAAAAGAAGCGATGGTCATGGGCTATCTTACATCAGCCTATCGTTAAACAAATTTTTAATATAAAATCATATTAGATATTTACTTAAACTATAGGATCAAATAGGACAGTATATCTTATAAAATAAGATTTATCTCCACATCAAATTGCCCATATTGCATGCATGTGCCTTACTAATTTTTTTAAAAAAATGTATTTATAATCGTAAAAATGAAATTCGAGGCTCATGGAGCAATCTTGAGCCCAGAATCTAATTAAAGAAACCCAAGTTTAAAACTATATTGCCCCAAACTCTGTCAATTCTAAATCCATTGGCCCAATAGAATTAAAGCCCATACCAAACTGCAAACACTTTTTCCTTATTATTTTAAATTATTAGGTTAAATTATATAATTAATTTTTATAGTCTATCAAAGTGGTAAATTTAGTCCTTATGTAACAATTCATAAAAATTTAGTCCCTATATTTTCCAAAATTAATGATGTCAATCCATAATCTTTAATTGAGTTAAAATTTTTTTGTTATTTATGCTAATATAACATTAGGTTGTATTTATGTAATATTGTCTTGTGGATATGACATTTAATGTAATGATTTGACAATGTTGATGTATTATTTCAAGAATAATATAATGGTAGTGCTGACATGACATGACCAAGTATTAGATTTTATAAATATTAACGTGAAATTATCCAATATGAGATTAATATGTGAAATTTATTATTACCAAATGAAAAGAAGGCCTAAACTATCCAAAGACATCATAAACATAAAATTTATTTTGCAAAAATTCGAATGCCGTTAATTGTCAATTTTTGAAAGTATAATAATTGAATTTTACAAATTATTGTCTAGGAATTAGATCCATCATTTTGAAATATTGTAAAAACTAATTATATAATTTAATCAATTTTAACTATAATAATTTCCAACGTATATAAAAAGACTTGCATCTTATAAAGCTTTTAAACAATAACCATTTCTTTAACTAAGTTTTTAATTTTTTTTATCATACTCACATTAGTCATTAATCTTTGATTTTGTATCCAAATAAACTCTTAATCTTAATAGAAAATTAAGTGTCGTTGAACTCAATACGAATTGATATTTTTTGTCATTGTGACATGTAACATATGACGTACGTCAATTGTCCAATGATCATGTTAGTTTGTTAGATCTTAAGTCATGTGAGCATAAAATGCCAAATACTATTTTAAAATTAAGAGTTTATTCAAATATAAATCAAAATTTAAAAACTTGAAAAATAATTTTTATTATCACTATTAGAGTTATTTAGGTGTTAAGATGATAAATAAAAGTTCATTACAAAGTGATTATGCCATTTGATTTTCACTAATTTGATATCAAAAGAAAAAATGGATATAAAAATTGATAAAATCAATAATAATATTTTGTGTCCTTTGGAGCTCCAGTCACTTGGTTGACTTGGATTTGATCTTTTTTGTCTTTCGCTCTAAATGTCTCCATCTCACATTATCATCTCTATTCCTTTTATTAATTCTATCCTATTTAGGTTTATTAATATCTTTATCAATTTCATTAGTTTATCTTCAATTATGAGATTTCAAATAATAGATTAGATTTCTCTTATATTGTCAGTAGTTCATCATCTCCTATTGTTATTTAATTATATAAAACCGCAATGCTTTTGTGGGGTTTATAATAATTAAGTTGTTGAGATTCGGTTAATGAGTTTATAAATACCAATTAAGCATGTTCATATTCTGAGTATTTTCTCATCATTTATTGAGAAAATGTAAAAACTATATTTATCATTTTTAATTAAAGTTTAATTAATGTTTGATCAAGATAATTGAATAGCAATACAAATATACAAGTGATTTAATCTTTTAGTTTTAAATTTGAATTTTAGCAAATAATATTAAATATCTTGTCTAAGAGATTAGACAATTTATCTATTCCAAATTTTATTTAAGAATGAGAATAACAAAGGATTGAATCCAAAAGAGAGCTACTTTTAGGACAGGATTTAAATTCTATTCAATCATTCTTCAAGTATTATTGGGATATTTGTTTATGTTTAAATTAAACAAAATTTTAATTAAAATTGAATAAGTTAATCAGAAGGACGTAATTAGGTCAAGATTCAAAAGATTTACCTTCATTTGCATCTGCACTTTGATTTGATACAAAAATAAAACCGCAGAATTTTACCAAAACTTCAAAAGATCAAGTTGCACTGCAGCAGACTCAGCAGCAAAGCTCCTTGCCTGTATTAATGACCAACGAAACGAACAACTGAGTCGATTATTACATAACAAAAACGAGAGAGGCATAGTATTAAAGACTTTACCTGTACCTAACAGAGGAGTCCCTCGGTTGTTCGTCTTCTTCCACACGCTTCCTCTTCCTATTGTCTCCCGCAATAAACGAAGCGATCTGGGACTGAGTTCGCAGCATCATACGAGTCAACTCCGCCTCCGATTCCATCCTCCGCTTCTCCGCCTCACATCGCGATGCTTCCATAGCCTTGACCATCTCCATCCCCGCCAGCTCCATCCTAAGCATCGAATCAGAGAAGACTCGCAGACTGGCCGATAGATCAGCCAACGGAGTCGACTGACATTCCCAGTCACAGCTATCGGAATCAAGACTCGACGGATCGTTGGAATCTTCTTCGTCGAGGTTCGGAGTGTCGGACGGGCGTGCGTTGGATAAGAATCCAGCATCGAAGTTGTACTTCAGACGATTCTCGCCGCTGCTGCTCGTCCGGTTCAATCCTGCTCGAGCACTCGGATCCGCCATTCTCTCGACAAAACAAGGATCGAATAGCAGCGGCAATAGTCTTAACTTGGGAACTGGTTGGTAAAGGAAAACAGAAGTAGATTCCATGTCAGCATTTCTTCCATGGTGGGGCCCGCCATTTAGGCATCCTAGCTTCTACATTTCCATGATTAGGCCTTGGCACATGATTAATTAAGCCAAGTGAAGATCCTAATTATCAAATAACAGAACTAATTCAAAGGAGTTGATCGCATCATGAGTCATGGGATCATGCTTATAAGCTTAATTTGAACAAAAAGTAATTAATTATACTTTACTTTAACTCTGTTGATTAGATTTAAAATTTTTAAAATTTAATTATTCAAATTTTTATAAAAAATAATTAAACTGATCAAATTACATTCTAAAATCAAAATAATCACATAGCTTTACTTTCAAAATAATCAATTGATTTGATGATTTGGTCAATTTTATTATTATTTTTTGATATTTTATATTATAGTATTATAGTAATAATTTTAAATATTAAAAATAAATCAAAATAACTGAACAAATTAAATTAAATAATTGATTAAAATCAAAATCCAACAAATCAAATCAACTTAATCGAATTTACTTTCTTTCAATCGGTTTATTCGGTTGGAAATCGATTAACAGGTCTGAATTCAAGTTTGGATTAAAATAGACTGATAAGCTCAAAGCCCACTTTAATGGCGAATCTATGAACCCATTATCTTTTAAGAAAAGGTCCAAGGCCCTTGGGCTTCGATTGACGTATAAAATCCAGCCGACAACATGTCTGTAAAGACACTGGAAGCTGAAAACAACAAGATCCAGTGTTGAGTTGTTGACCGATTGACGAAAAAGAGGAATTAAATGTAGCAAATGTGAGTCTGATTCCAAAAGATTTAAAAAAGAGCACGTCCGTCCATGTGTCCATGTACAAGAAATCAAGCTTACTCTTCTTGTAGGCTCTAGCTGAAGCCAGAGAATTTCCTCTCTCTCTCTCTCTCTCTCTCTCCAAACTTTATTCTCAATCAGAGAAAGCAGAATCAGACAAGACCGATGGCCTCACGTGACAAGAAACCAGCGAAGCCGTCGAGCAGCAGCCGCGCCGGTGGTATACGCACGCTCTCGGATCTGAACCGAAGGTCTGGACCTGATTCCGACAGCGATTCCGATAGCCCCCAGGAGTACTACACTGGTGGCGAGAAAAGGTCTTCTCTTGTTTTTTATTTTTTTTAAATTTTCCCTAATTATTATCAGCGAATTATTTGATGGGTTGCTGAAGAATTGCTAAGTTATTAAAGTTTTATGTTTGAGGATGAATTTGAATATTACAATGAAAAAGGGGAGCTTTTGGCTGTTGTCTTTGGAATTATGCAGTGAGGATGTCGATTAGGATAAGGACTTAATATTTGGACGAAGATTTGAGTAAGAACTTAGTAGGGGAGTTTGCCAGAGTAGTTTAGATCTTCACCTTGTACTTTGGGGAGATTTGATCTGGAGACTTTAAGATGTGAGTGGGATTGAGGAGTTAATGCTGCGCTCTATGATTTTGCTTTTCACACTGAAAATTAGTTTTTTGGTGCTGGGGAAGCCTATGCCTGCTTGATAATAAGATAAACCAAAGCATTAAATTCAAGCATGGTAGATTGTTCTTTCTTTGGATGGTTGTTTGAGAGAGCTTATTCATAGACCACCTTGATGAAGTTCCATGAGCTGTTTATAAGAGACCAAGCGATGGTCAGCCTTGCATTCTTTTTAAAGTTTGCCAGCATCTTAAACCTAACATAAGTGCATCTAAGAACCTGCATTTCCCAGAATGGTAGATCATGTTGAATTAATCCTTTAAGTACTGATTCTAAGGGTAAATAGCATTGATTTACTTTAGTGTTAAGTGCAAGATATTGGATTTTAAAGGATATTAATAAGCTGTCTTACTATGTCAAGGCAGTTTTTGAGTATGCACTCTTTTGTTCGAGTTTGGCAGCCATTACTCATTAGTGATGTTCTTGTAGGCATTTTAGTTGGCCTATGTGCATCACTTTGTGCAATTGCATAGACAGTTCTATTGTACTTGTATTGTGCTCAATTTGAGGTTTTATGCATGGAGTGCACGTTAAATTATTTCTGGGACAGGCATTCATTAAGGTTTGGCTTTGCAAATTTTGGTGAATAATAAGTAACTCTTTTGTCTCGTTTGAATAAGCACATAAACATTGAAGTATATCATCTGTAGCTTTTTTCTGCTGCAAAAGTTCACTGCAAGCAAATTTTATCCTTGTTGACGCAGTTTATTCCTACCATGGCATGCAGTAGTGGCATGCATGATCACAAATTAAATTTTTTTTAGACAAAGTTGATAGGGCTTCATTCAAGAAGTTTGTGTTGTTTTGCTGCATGTTAGCAATAGAAGATTGCTTTCTCTTATTGATAAGTATTGGAATGTCTATAGTACCGGTTGTTTGGATGTATTTCCAGTTAAATGCCAGATGCTATGTTTTGATCTGTAAATCTGATGCAAGGTTGAGGAACAGGTTGATTTATAAATATGCATTTATCATTCTAGTTATTGTTGATAAAGCCTTTTTCTTTTTTACACTAAGCTTTCTCAGAGTTCATGTAAAAAAGATACCAAACCTGCCATTTATGATATTATGATAAAATGCTTGAGGATGACCAACTATAACTCTAATTTTTGCAGTGGCATGCTTGTTCAAGATCCTTCAAAGAACAATGATGTAGATGAGATTTTCAATCAAGCTAGGCAACTGGGAGCAGTAGAAGGACCTCTTGAACATCTTCATCCATCATCAAGTTCAAGAAGTTTCACCGGAACCGGTAGATTACTCTCAGGGGAAACTGTACCTTCTGCACCTCAGCAGCCTGAGGCTGTTATTCACAACATAGTTTTCTGGAGCAATGGTTTCACTGTAAATGATGGCCCTTTGAGGAGGTTGGATGATCCTGACAACGCATCTTTCTTAGAGGTAGTAGCAATTAAGTTTTTGACACCTACGGAAAAAATAAAATTAAAGAAGAGAAATAAAGTGACATGTGATTTGGAGGTGTTTTTTGGAGTGAAAGTCTGCAATAATATTGTAGAAGGCGTTTCATTATACATGTTCACTTTTTAAAGCAGACATTAACTGTTTGTTGTGTTTCAGAATGCTTTGTTGTATTGACAACTTTGTTGCATCTCAATGCAGAGCATCAGAAAGTCTGAGTGTCCAAAAGAGCTTGAGCCTGCTGATAGAAGGTCTGCGGTTCATGTCAATCTGATAAGGAGGGATGAGAACTGCCCTGTGAGTCTCTCTCTTTCTCATATAAGCATTATTTTTGTCAGTAAGTTTGTAATTTGTAGAATTTAGAAAGTTATGGAAAGGACCTTCGAAATTGCGTATGTGTCCTTCTTTAACATGCATTCAGGACACCATTTGAGGATGTCATTCCTATGTTTGTCTCTTTGCAGGAACCAGAGAAGCAGCGCCATGTAGCATTTCAGGGTGTAGGAAGAACTCTTGGTAGCAGCGGTAGTTCTACGGCAGCTCCTGAACCAACCATCAGTCCCACTCCTCTCAACGCTCCTCCAAACCCTACTCCTGCCGTGGTTGTAGATGAAAGTTTACCATCAACCTCAATTCAGCTTAGGTTGGCTGATGGGACTCGCATGATAGCCCAATTCAATTTGCACCACACCGTCGATGATATCCGTGCCTTCATCAATGCCTCTAGGCCTGGGGGTGCAATACATTATCAATTGCAGATAATGGGATTCCCTCCTAAACTTCTTACTGATCCAACCCAAACCATAGAGCAGGCAGGCCTTGCCAATTCCGTGGTCATTCAGAAACTCTAGCTGGCCTGCATGGAAAGTTTCTATCTAGTCATTACTAAAGCTGCCTATTGTAGCACTTGGAAAAATATCCAACAACTGGAACGATTATGAACCATTACTATATACAGGTAGCAGATTTTGATGGGCTGATTGTTTTTGAATTGGATTGAATTGTTTAATCCTTTCTTTTTTCATTCAAAGTGATACCATAAGCACATTCCAAGCAGCCATTTTTTCTACCAGTACATGATCAATAACAGATCTATACAAGCCGAAAGTTGCTATACCATAGGCACTTTATTCTTAAGCTCACCAATATTTCCATGTACGACTCCCACCCTTGATGCTCTGGTAAAAAAGGGGGAGAGGCTTGGCCGGGGAAGCGACTAGCATCTCACCCTTGCTCGAGTCCAACAGGTTTTTAATCTCCATTGATGGTGGTGTGTAGATTGGACAGGGAAAAAGCAAGATGTCGGCCAGAACTATCAAATACTTCCCCATTAGAAAGATTTATGCAATCGGGTTTGGTCGACCAAGGGCCCCTCCTCCCCGCTCATTTGCCAGCCACGAACCACAAATCTGGTACATGGTCCTTTGAGTTTTGGTGCCTTTATACCATACCATACCATAGATTGAATAATGAGATAAGTATGTCTGGGTATAAAGGAGTCTTGTCATGAAACAGAACATAAAAATGCCTCTATGACCTAGGTATCTCATGTGGAAAAGAAACAACAAGGATTTGTACGTTCTTAAGATTTCACTACATAAAAAGTTGCGTTATCGTCAAAATTTATTGTATTATTCGTCCTAAATTTATGAATCAAATACATAAATAAACATCTATTATAAAAAAAAAAACATCTATTATGTCAAATCCACATCCTAAGCAGTCTAAGTGTCATCCAACTCCTTGAGAAGATTTGCTTTGCTTTGCTATGATAAGGATGCATGGTGGGGTATTTCTCCTTGTGTGGTGAAGGTGAGATTTGAAATGCAATTTGTTGTTTCTCTAAAGGGGAATTCCCTAATATAGCTCTGCAAGTTGACCCCATGATTCTAATCATAATTATCCTATTTATGGTCATGACCAATGCTCTGATAATAATTAAGATAAAAGCTGCTTTGCTGTCAAACTCAGGGATTATGCTTTTGTTTTTAACTGTTCTAATTATCTTGGTAACCAAGGTGGGATGCCTCTGTGAAAGCACTTAACTAATGATCTTCTTTTCATTAGGAAAGTGCCAAAAATGAGGTGAAAGTTTGGTTTAGACTACTGGTACTTCAACAAGTTAACATGGCTGTCTTTACCCAAAAGGAGAAAAAAAAATGCAAATAAATGTTAATAAAGTTAGCATTAAACTAACAATAGTAGTTGTACTTAATAATCTAAAAATGGTTATTTATTCCCACAAGCCCACTTAATGGGAAAAGAATAGATAAGAAGAATACTAAAGTAATTAATTAATAATTCAATGCACTTTTTGTCTTTTTCTTTTTATCATGATACATGAAATTCAATTTCTATTTTTAAACACTTAATATATTTTTTTTCGTAATAATATATAAAAAAAATTTGCAGCTAATAACTAAGAAAGGAAATAAAGTACAAAACTTAACCTTTACCCCTTGTCCCCAAGTTATGTCATTCTAAACATTGGGTTTGATGTTTGAACCATTAATCCTTCCTTTAAGGCACTTGGACGACCCTTCCAAAGGATTAAATAATGACCACATGGTGGGAGAACTAAAATTGTTAAATCATTGCCATACTTTTAAGCTTTGGACTGCAATCCAAGTTGAGAAATAATATCATACTACATGTTATCAACACCAACTTCAAATGTTGTTGCCCTTAAATAAAACAATTAATTAAAATGAAACATTAATAATAAAAAAAAAATACTCGACCGAAAAAATCAACTTTTTGAAAACATTTTAAAAATATTAAAAAAAGTCGTAATTTGGGTTTATTTTCATAATAAAATTTATGTATCAAATGTAGTAGTTGATATGATTATTAGCGAGAATAGCCAAATTCGGTTGTAATTTATGGAGTACTTTTCATGTACATTACTAGCACTAATTTTTTTGTATGAAGTGTTTCAAGTTTATTTGATGTTGGTAGCAAAAGGAAGCGTTGGAAAATATAGAGTCTAGCCTCAATTATCCTGTCTATTGGCTGCTATGCCATTCCCCCATGATCCTCATCAATCGGATTAATTGCGTGCCTGTTATTAGAAACGGTTCATTCATGGCTATATATGGTTCAAAAAGTGGATTATCTTTCTAATGATAGCTTTGAGATAACACAAGCTTAAAAAGATGAACTAATGAAGCTTACAATAATGGCGGAAAAAAGGGTGGTGTGTTTTTGTTTATTGATTGGTTGCCCTCTGAGGGAAGGGGGCAGGGGCTCATGACACAAAGTGGTCAAGAGGAGAAAAAGAAAGGTTTGGAAAATATACTCCCAACCCCAACATCTAATCCATCTATCTATCTTTCAAACTTCAAAACTTTATTTATTGAATCTCCAGGTAGCAGCAGTAGCAGGTGTTTTGTTCCTTCTCTCCCCCCTCTCCTTTCTTCTTTTCTTTTTCCTTTTTTTTAAACCTTACCCATCATGCGACTGTTGATGGAAATGACGTAAAGTGATTCAGAAGTGAAGAAAATAAAAGAAAAAAAAAAAAAAGCTTTTGCTTGTAAAGGAGCTTGGGAGCTAGCCTTCCAACTATCAACCACACGCACCCAGCGTTGCTTCACTTCACCCAACCAGTGACGTCTCTCTAACCCTTTTTCTTCTTTTCCTTCTGCTTTTATTCTTACGCTGTTGTGATGGATTCGCGTACGATACCCTCTCTCTCTCTCTCTCTCTCTCAGTTTAAGTTCCAGCCCTAGCCCTGCCCTTGGCCCCTAACCCTAACCCTAACCCTGACTCAGAGTCTCGAACCCTTAACTCAGATGTTGAAGTGGAAGGAGGGAAAGAAAAATAAGTTAAACCTTTGATGGCTTTTATAGGAAATTACTAATGCAATTCGGAGAACCGTTGTCTGTTGTGCACACAAAGAACGAACGAAAAACCACAAAAACCTGAAGCATGCCCGCAGGAACAGTTTCCTTTGTCTTGATTTTGCTTAATAATTGAGTGGGGCAAGGGTCAAATCTCGGATTGATTTGTTAAGCACGATGGAATTTACCACCTTACCTACTGATTGGAAAAATCTGTTGTGGTTCATGTATCAATAATCATGCGTCTGCCTATGTTCTTTCTTTTGCAGCAAAGTTTGGTGTATGTTGTGTGTCTGTATCGCTCTACTTTCTTGGATGATAGAGTTCTTTCTATTGGCTGAAAAAGAAAATGCAAACCCGGCAGACATGTTCCAAGCGGGACTCGGATGGCAGTGCAGCTAAACGTCAAACATCAGGTTAAGAAATGAAATTTGCAATCTGACACGGCAGGTGGTGCCATGTGTACCAGGATTTAATAGAACAACTATGCATAGACAGTAGATCGACTGAAGTTTTTCCACATTTTTCACTCGGGAAGAATAAATACTACTACCACAGCACTTAAGGACTGGGTGGTGCTTTTCCCTGGAAGAAGCACATCAGTGGCCTTTTGCAGCAGCCAGCAGTATACATCCCTGTCGATGTACTTCTAAGCTATTATAAGATTCTCCGAGTGTAAAAGAGTTTGAATTTAAATTGCAGAATCAGAACAAGTTTCGGAATGCTATCAAATCTGTTCTTACAATTTGGATTGATCATGCACGACATGATCTATCCTTTGGTCATGGGAGCATGCAGCCAAAATGTAGTCCACCAATCAGACACCCTGGCAAGCTGCCGAGATGAAATGAGAAAGCTATCACTCCATGCATGTTTGCCACGATGATCAAGTTTATCAATGGAGTCGGCACAAACCAATAAGCAACAGTAAAATCATAAATTAAGATAAATCCTAATGTATACGTAGTGCTGTAGGTAGTCTGAAACGTTGGAAAAAAGGCCTTGGTAGTCAGTACTATCCCTGGTAACCATTGCAGAAGAGTAGTGTGACAAACCAGGAGTAGAAGTAGTAAAGAGGATACCATAACATGGGAGAACTGTTAGAAGAATTAGGTGCATCATAGGGAGACAATGGAAAAGAGACAATTTGTTCAACTTTAATTGGAGCTGTATCCCATGGTGCCTCACAGTCACAGGGGCAGTGGAGCTGGCTAGAGAGGGCTACTACGACTTCCTTTAAATTTGAGAGAGGGAAAGAGAGAGACATTCGGACTGTCCCACTTGCTTTACCAGCTTTTCTAGCTTTTTTTTCTATGTTAAATAATTGCAGATTAGATGCTATGACTGGGACTAACAATGAGTGTATAAAAGATTTTTAAAATCTCTAGGAAAAGATTTTGTCCAGTGTGCTTATCTTCACTGACCCTTATCTATGAACCATCCGGAGAGCTTTATTTCCTTTGAGAGATTGCTTGCACGCTGCCACCCAACAAGAAACAAATCACAATTTCGTCAAACTATGTCCTAATTCATCAGACCACAAGCCACAAATCAGGGTGTAGTTTTCTTTTCCATTATACAAACTAAAGATTTAAGAACATAGTATACTACTATACTGTATTGTTTTTCACTCTGGGAGGAAGGGTATAAAGAAAAGAAAAGAAAAGAAAAGAAAAGCAAGAAATCCTGCCAAAATTATTAGTTTGGTATTGAGTAGTGTGGTAGGGTTTGAAGGGTAGAAGCGGACAACATAAGTGCGAATATCAAATGAGTGGACAGATTGCTATCAAAAACCCAGTGAGTGAAAGAGCACAGTTCCTTCAGAAAGAGAGAGAGAGAGGAGTATGTGAACTGTGATTCCGTGCCCCAAAAACCTTTCCCTCTTTCCGTCACTAGGAGACTTCTTGGCTCTTCCTCGATTTGATCGTTCCTCTCTTTCTCTCTCTCTGTCTTTCGTTCTTTTCCCTTCTATATTGTATCTTGTATTCTCGTTAATTTCTCTTCCGTTCTGAGAAAAAACAAATAAAATAAGTATGCGAGTATATCTAATCTCAATCTCTCTCCTCTCCTTTTTCTAATGTTTGCCAGTAATGGCAGTGCAGCAGTGGCAGTGCAAGGAAAGAGGGGGAAGAGTTTTCATCGGGAAGGTAAAGCTTTGCATCCAGCGCCTCAAAGATAACAACACAGCATGAAACCACTGCACCTTCGCTTCTATTTTCTCTTCCTTTCTCTCTGTATAACCCGCGTGCGCTCTGTGCAATCCTACTGAAACACAGAAACCCTTCTTTCTCTCTCTGTATTCTCTCTTTTTCTTTCTTTTCTTCTAAAGAAGAGCAACGCTCGAGAGAGGGAGAGAGAGTGTAATAGAATAGAAAGTGAGAATTAATGCTGTTAATGAGCAGAAAGATAAACACCCATTTTCCAAAGGAAATCTGAGCAGGCTTTGCCAGACCAGCCAAGAGAGTAAAAACCCACATTTCATTTACAACTGACTGGCTGCCGCTGCTGGCTGCTGCTGCTCCTACTTATACTACTATCACTATTTAGGATTTTCCTGTAAAAAGCCTGGTTCTTGAAGCATAAATCTCGGGAGAGTTCTGGAGATAAAACAATCTTTTAGGGCAAAAAAGGATTGCGTAGGAGAGAGAAACCAAGAAAGCAAGAGAAAGAAAAGAAGGAGAGATAGAGAGAGAGTGGCTTATGTTGTTATATAGCAAAGCCCCCAAGTGAAACAACTAGTAGGAAAAAGAAAGATAAGATAGTGAGAGATAATGGAAGGTGGTTCCAATAGCACTTCTTGCATGATAGCTTTTGGACACAATGGTCATGGACTATGTCCTATGACGATGATGCCTCTCATGACTTCTCATCCTCATCATCAACATCATCATCATCATCATCCTCATCCTCCGAATTCAGACTCATACTCCCTATTTCTTCCCTTACCTCCCACCAACAATCAAGACCAGAACCACAATAGCAGCAGTGGCTCCTCCATGATTCTTGACGATCACAACAATAACAACAACAGCACCAACAACAATACCGGATGTTATTTCATGGAGACCAACGATGGCAGCTCTTCTTCTGTCAAGGCCAAGATCATGGCTCATCCTCACTACCACCGTCTCTTGGCCGCCTATGTCAATTGTCAAAAGGTGAAAACCAAATTACTTGACTCATAAACCTGCAACCCATTTGCCCATAAAACCTTCCCTTTCTCTCCTTCACACTCTCTCCGCCAGTCTTTTTCTCACAAGCAGAACACACACAAAACATGCACTCATCGCTTCCTCCTTTTCTTTGAAATTGTCTCGTTTCATTGAACGATTTTTAGCTGAGAGGGAAAATCTTTTATACCCGTATCATCGAACTAGTTTCTCATGTTTTGCTTTACTGCATCTTGAAGATTTTTCTGTCATGAAAGCGAGAGGTCAGAACTCTTTGTGAGTGAGATATACGTGTGATAGAGACATGAGTGTTAAGTTTCCTTTTTCTTTTATTTTTTGTTCCTAATAGCGAAGAGAGATCATTGGTTTTCTAATGAAAGCATTATTTAACAAAACCAAAGCAGGTAGGAGCACCACCTGAAGTGGTGGCGAGATTAGAAGAAGCATGTGCATCTGCCGCCACTATGGGTCCCTCTGGCACCGGCTGCTTAGGTGAAGATCCAGCTCTCGATCAGTTCATGGAGGCATATTGCGAGATGCTGACAAAGTACGAGCAAGAGCTCTCCAAACCCTTCAAGGAAGCCATGCTTTTCCTCCAAAGGGTCGAGTGCCAGTTCAAAGCGCTGACAGTGTCCTCTCCGAGTTCTGGTGATAATACTCTCTCTCTCTCGTTTTTGTCTGCGTGTGCCTGTACTTTCTTAGCATCACCACCTTCAGACTGCTTCATGTTATGAATTTTGGAGTATTGCTAATATTAAAACAATCTGCCATGCATGTCTATGTTTCTTGGGACATGTAGCTTCGGTAATTGACCAAATAATGTATTGTAAGAGGAGCTTCTTTCCTAGACCGGTGTTTTAAGTTTTTTTTCTTCTTCTTGCTAACTCTTTTGACATCTTCTTTTATACTCTAAAATTTTGGTACTCCTTTCACAATGGTCATAGAACTGTTTTACTCTAACTAGGGTATCCACACTAAACAATAGTACATAATTCCCTGCTTTGATTTACTTTCTTGATGTGCTTTCTTGTGAATTCTTCTGGTATGCTACATATGGACACGTTTTTTCACCTTCTCGTAGTTCAACCAGGGAAGGAAATGGCTTGCCAACCTTATGCCAGCTGTAACATAGGAGATGTGTATCCTGGAAAATGAAAAAGCCAGTAAACTTTGGTTTGCTATATTGAAGAATTTGAAGTGAAGAAGGAAATTGCTGGGCTACTGACTAGCTATCAGCTAGTTTGGTTGCAAAGCCTTCCGGAAATGGAATATGTTGCACCTAGCTGGGGCTACAGCCTACATCGTTTGCAATGATGTAGTAATAATTGTATGCTTGTTGCGTAGAAGGTTTAACTATATACACCAAGCGTTATATCTATGATCTGATAATGAATGATTAAAATTTGTAAGAATTAAGGGTTAGATCAAACTAGGGTTCCCAGGTTACAAAGTTGAGTGTAGAGATACATGAACTACAACCGCAGATTTGGGGATTTTTGCTTGCAACGGTAATGCAAAGTGCAGAAAGGTTCATACATAGGGACTGATGCTCTTGAGAGTAAAGGATATGTTTTTTTGAATGGCCACTAGAATTCTTCATGGGTACCTCTTTGTGGTGCTTCTTAGAGCATTGATCATCAGCTGCTTGCTGCACTTGCCTTGAGCAGTGGAAGTCCTTAGAAGATTATATGTTTGAAAACTAAAGCTCTTTGTTCCATCGAGTGCAGTTAACCATGATGATTTGTTTTTTTATATAAATGTGCTTGATGATACTTTTTTTAATTATTTTGAATTACTTTGTTCGTAAAGTAATGGCACTAGTCTATTCCAGACACATACTTTTTTACTTAGAAATTCGAGATTTTTTATTTATGAGGCTGAATTTTCAATTCATTGATAATATAATTAACACAAAAATGGCATAGTTTTTGAAGTACAAAAATTTATCCTCAAGGAAATAATTTGAATCCTTCTCTTTCTTTCTCTAATTGTGATACATTAATTTATGCAATCTGCAGCCCTTTTGTATTCTGGCCCTAATTTTCATGCTTCATGCAGCATTCAAACTTCACCCTACATGCTTGAATGTTTTATATCTTTATGGCCTTATGATTGGTTATATGACTGATCCAGTAATTTAAATCTCAAGCAGAGTGTTCTCCTCAGGTGAGCAACAAATTAAACCTATATGAGCTTAAGCTATGAGACTAATATTTCTCCTATGTCATTGTCATTGTTGAGTGAGATGCTTTATGGTGCAGATATGCGGTTTCTTTTTTCGTAATGAAGATGTTCAAGTGATAATGAGTTCTTCTCAGATACTGCTGTATATCATGCTTTGAGCACATGTTCTTTAGGTTTCTATAATTTTATAAGCGTTTCGGTAGTTCTTAAATTAGCCTCTAAATATGTGCCGCCTCCTCTTTAACCTTAGTGATTGAGGGTAGGTATTGTTCTTTTGTTTCATCTTAAGGAGTTAAGTTTTTTCATCTTATACCAATAGTCAGATGACGATTTTCTTGAAGGCATTAATATAAATCTTGGTGTGACCACTGTCTTTGCCAAATTTCTCTTTGGGAATTATTTAGAGGTACTGCATTTTGGTGAGGCAAACTTTTTCTAACTAGCATGAGCCTAAAAGAGCACCCTCTATAGAGCATGAAAGATCAAATAGGCGTTATAGGCATTTGAGGCACTTAAGTCTATTCAATCCTTTTTCCTTTTTGTTAAATCAAAACATGGTGTCTAGAAACTCTTGAACCTTTATGCCGAATAAGGCAATGTCAATGAAATGAGCATATACATTTTTTTATCCTGATGATTTGGTTTTTAACAATAGATTAGTCACTAGTGTGTTTATTTTATATGAAGGAGAAATTGATTTCCTAGTGACCTAGGTACTGTAGAAGACTATTTCTCTTGAGCATATACTCTAAGGGCAAGAATGCAAAAACGAACTAGATATAGAGATTAGCTAGCTCAGTTTTTAAACTGTTTATCAGGTTTGATCGTTGCATTAGTCCTTCAATGAATTCGTTTGTTGACGAGAGAATAGGATTTTTTCTGGTGACACAGGAATTAGTATACCATAAATCTTGATTAATTAAGGAATACGTCACCATATTGTGCTGGTTTGAGTAATAACAAGGAGATATATTTTCGTTAGAGATGCTTACCGATTCATTTTGTATTCAGCTTGTGGAGAAGCTGCTGACAGGAATGGATCATCTGAGGAAGAAGTTGATGTGAACAACAATTTCATAGATCCCCTTGCAGAAGATCGAGAACTTAAAGGTCAGCTTTTGCGGAAGTACAGTGGATATTTAGGCAGTCTGAAGCAGGAGTTTATGAAGAAGAGGAAGAAAGGGAAGCTGCCTAAGGAAGCCAGGCAACAGTTGCTGGATTGGTGGAGTAGACATTACAAATGGCCTTACCCATCGGTAAGTACATGTCTGTCAACTTATCAGTGGATTGTTGTATCTGTTTCTGCATTGCAAATGCTAAAGCAAAACCGAAGCTTCCTCCTTTCTGAGAATGCCGATAAACCATGAACCTTTTGAAGATCCAATTATTGACTTTAAAAAACCTTTCAAAGATTGCTTTGTTTTCCTTCCAACTTCAGTGCCTTAGATGTTACTCCCATTTGATGACTGGTGCCTCACAACATTTTCTCTTCTCAGACTTGCATCAGCTGCTCACCATGATTCAAGACTTGATTACATGCACAAGGACTACTGCTAACTTGAAACTTTTTCTTTGGCACGTCATTAACTTGTTATCAAGATTTCCCTCGATTTAATCTTACAATTGCCTCTTAATTTGTGCATATGGAACTCTGCTTAACATATTACACTGCTCATTAATAAATGGCTGACATGCAGTCTTGAGGGATTCTCTTTCAATATGATAATGATATGGCCAATCTTGTATCGTTAAAACTATTTGTTAATCATGATCTCTGTGGTGAAACCGAACACTTCCAACAGGAGTCGCAAAAGCTTGCCCTTGCTGAGTCTACTGGTCTGGATCAGAAGCAAATAAACAACTGGTTCATCAATCAAAGGAAAAGGCACTGGAAGCCCTCTGAAGATATGCAGTTCGTGGTAATGGATGCCACCCATCCGCACTACTACATGGACAATGTTTTGGGCAATCCCTTCCCCATGGATCTCTCTCCCACACTTCTCTAAAAACGTAACCACGGATTCACGGCTGCCGTAGCTGTACGGAAAAGCTTGAAGGCCAACTGCATTTGATATGCAAACTGTTATAATTAATTTGATGGGTATTTTTATGTCATATTATCATATGCATACCTCCTGTATGCACTTTGAGGCTATTTATGCTCTCTCTATATATATAAGTTCCAGACTGTTAAAAAGTATATAATAGTATATCTCCGTTCATATAGTTTTGTCAAATGCATTTGGGATGAGATATTATTTTTGGTAGGGTAAACTGCATCGAAATCGGAAGCAAACTGTTACATTAAGCATACGAAGAAATGATTTAAGGAAGCAATTGGGAGATGTACTCTTCAATTTTTTGTTATTAGATTTCCACCTGTTTAATCTATTTCTGGGTGATTTTTCTCTGAAACAGTGTTTTCAACTCCCTTCATACTCTATTGCCTTTATTCATGTTTTCTTTTTGAGATATTTCAAAATAAAGCTGTTTTAGACATTTATTATTTTTCTTTTATATATTAAAATGTATTGAACATATATAATATTTTATGATATTTTAATATAAATCATGAAAATTGAAGGTTTTGTCTTAATTTGTGTACGTTAATGTTGATAGCAAACATGATAAAAGGCTACTTGGATGAGCAAGGTATTGCCAAAATGAGAAGCCTTCCTAGTAAAACTAAATATTGAAATAATTAAAAAATATTTTATTTTCAGAAAATGTTTAGGATTTATACTTACTTTGAAAGATTAAAAATTGATTTCAAATGTAAAATATTTTGAGGCAACGGAAAAAATTTATTGATCACAGAAAATGTCTTATGGTTCAAAGTAACATAAGACACTTTTAAGAGAAAATAAAAATATATAAATTTGATGAATATTAATATTAAATTTAAAAAATTTAAAAATATATTAATATTTAAATTAGTCAAAATTATTAAAATAAAATTTTTTTTAATGAAACTATTTAATGCAATCAAATTTTTTATTTATAAATTGAATAAATTTACTAATAATTATAATAAAATTTTTTTGATGATAATCATTTGATGAATACATATAAATATTGGTTTTGAATGTTTTACATAATTGATAAATATTGATATTTTTAATATTATGATAAAAAAGTGAAAATAGAAATTTTTTTAGAAATTAAAATTTTGCTTTAATTATAAACTAACATTGTATAAGAATTAAAGAATTGTATAAATGATTATATTGCAGAAATTATTAAATGAAATATTTATATACAAGCATGCTTAATTGGTATCTATAAACAATCATTAGCAGGATCCAAATAACTTAATTACTATAAACTATTTTTCATTTAAAGGAAGATAATTTACCAGTAAAAAAAAATCGGATTCTGTACAAACCAAGTTATTAATAGGAAGAACAAATGATCCACATTCACATGAATGCAAAAGAGGTGCGAGGCACCTAACAGGCCATGTATCTATCCTGCGACCACTATTTCAATCTTATGGGTCAACAACATGTCAATCAAATGGAATTTCACACAGATGTGGTGCAAAGATAAAGCATGAGCTTCCTTTTATATATGGTTATACATACATGGTTAAATATTTTTAAAAAATATCATTATTTATTTTATCCGTTTTCATATCTATTCTTCATTTTAATTCTAAATTAGTAAAAATTAAATGACACCTTATTTATCATTTTTAATACTAAAAAACTCCATTAGTGATAGAGAAAAATATTTTTATATACATATGATAGAAAATGTTTTTGACAGTTTGTCTAAATAATAAAAATATTAAATTTTTATGTAAAATATTTACATTGAAAATATTTTCTAATTATTTTTTGATTACCAAACATATCCTTAATCATATCATTTTTGTTAGTAAAAAAATCATATAATTTATTTTTTAGTAATAAAAAAGTAATAAAATAATGAATATACAAAAGGGTTTATGACATCTTCAAGAACTTCCATGCCATATTTATTTAATAAATAAATGAATAAATTTTGTAAAAAAGAAAAATAAAATTATTCATCCACTAATGTAATGGGCTTGTCTAAAAAAAGCCCAAATCATGTCATTACGGACTTTAGACTTAAGCCCAAATGAAAAATTCAATTCGGCCCAACATTTGAAAAATAAGGAGAATAAGGAAGGAAAAAAAAAAGAAAGGAGCGAGAAGGGGTTTTTCATTTCTCGATACGACTAAAACCCACACTTTGCCTCCATTCTTAAAGATCGGCGGCCTCTGGCGGGACGATCAACGGCCAACGTTTTCCGGGCTCATTTCGACGGCAAGATTTCTGCCACGTCCATCCTCATGGTTACTTCTCTTTTCAGCTCACATTTGCTTCTTCCGTTTTTACATTAAGGATTTGTTAAGTTTAAACGTATAGATGTTTAACGATTTGATTAGCAACTGAATGGACTTGCTCATCATTTTGGGTTTTATTGTAGCTTCATGTGACTCACGAAACTATAGCTGCTTTTATTTTTTCCTTAGTTTTTTGTATATGGAATTTTATCGAACACATTGTGCTCCTAGTGTTAGATGCAAGTATTTGATTTAAACGGGTTTATGAATGTATTATTAAGATTTTTGGCTAAATTTATGGAACTTAATCTTGAGTTAAGTTTATAAACCGGATGAATTTTGGGTTTCTAATGAACAGGTGAGTTTTTCTTGCTGCTATTAATCAAGTAGTTCCTTGTTTGTGGGAGTATGGCTTTGTCGATCTCAAGAAGGATTTTACGTTCTTTTGGGTCACTGTCTGCCTTAGCTCGTTGGGATTCTCTAACTATTGCATCTCATTCGTTTCAAGCTTCTGGTAAGAGTAATATACTAACATGTCAACTTCTCTTATTTCGCTCATCTTGATTGCATACTTGACTTGGTATTCGTTTTTACAGATTTGAATGCTTGTATTTCTGGGGATAACTTGCCTCAGGCAGAATGTTTTAGCTTTTCAAAGGTATGTGCTTATTCTGTTTATTTTTAAAGGATATTTAGCATAGTATTATGTAATAAACAGTAGGGCAGTTGGAAATTACTTAGTTAACGATTAAATCCTTGTTATTAATTTAGAAGAATAAGCAGGGATATATTTTTTTTTGTATCTATTGAAGGGTAAATTCCTACTCTAGACATCATAGGAATTCTGGATTCTTTTTTTCAATCTGTTATTGCTCTTTTAGATGTTGTGTTTATGCATTTACATGCTAATCCCTTGTTTTCTTCTCAACCGTGGCTGTTTTGTATTTTATCAATGAGCCTGTCCTACATTTTATTTGGTGCAGGGTGGTTTGTCTTTCCTTGCTTGTCGGAAGTTTTCAACTACAATTTTGACTCCTGATTCAGCTGAAAGTGCTTTTCCATCTGATTTACTGTCTGCAAAGACTGTACTTACACCAGATCGTACTATAGGTATAATAAAAAAGAAACCATATTCGTTATCTACAGTAACTACTTGCCTTTAAAGTGAGATAGTTACACTCTGATTTTGCTGTAGTTTTTGAAGCCAATACGAATTGATAGGAAACTGGTAGAATTTTCTTTGATTTTAAGAGTATCACAGATTGAGGCCTAATGTTACTGTTTCTAAGCCACTATATAATTGTTTTTGTGGTAAAAATGCTCACAAGAATTATCTTGATATATGCGACCTTTGAACCTGAATATCTGCAATTGGTCTGCAATTGGTTTTATATTGCCTTCCATTTGGGTTCTTGTGTTAGTTAAACTATCAGTTCAGCTTATAAGCCTTTCAGTGATAGCAGAAATAGATTGATGGTATTTTTTTCTGTTTAAATTATGGAGCAGTGATATATTCATTTAGTGTATTGTCGTGCAGGACTTTATCAGGACCTAGTAATCCCAGTGACAAATTTTCATAATGAAGACAAGGGCTTAATGGTTTTGGCTGGTGATGTTTTTGATGTACCTATTAGAAAGGATATTATCCATCGTGTTGTACGATGGCAGCTTGCAAAACGACAACAGGTGCCATTTCATTCTCCTTTTGGGAAACTTGAAGCACAGGCTTGTAGGGCCCCTTTGATGTTCATATGGAATCTTCAAACTATTCTTATAAGTTGTGAATTTAATATATTCTTAGTCTCTTACTTCTTTATCCTTGTATTTTTTCATGAATGGGGAACTTTTCTTTTCTTTCATTCTCTTTTCATTTGGAGGGGTAGTGTTAATTTTGCTCTTCTACATTTATACACTGTTTATGTTCAACATAAATTGCATTAAGATTAATGCCAATCTTATGGTCAACAGGGAACACATTCAACCAAAACTATTAGTGAGGTTAGTGGGACTGGTAGAAAGCCCTGGCGACAGAAGGGTACTGGTCGAGCAAGGCATGGAACGTTGCGTGGTCCCCAGGTCATTATTCTGCTCTTTGATTGTAAGAAGTTTTAGAGCTATATAGTCATTTTTCTATGGCCTTTAATTGATTTTATTGATTGATAACAGTTTCGAGGTGGTGCTACAATGCATGGCCCTAAGCCAAGAAGTCATGCTATTAAGCTGAATAAGAAGGTTCGACGTCTTGGACTGAAGATTGCACTGTCTGCTTGTGCTGCAGAAGGAAAGGTAAGTCATTACCATTCGTTCAGTATGGCTTGTGTATTAAACAGTTTAGATTCTTAGTACATTTTCATTTTATAATATGACAGTTTATACATTTATGCATGAATGCATTACAATGTTTTTGAGTCCTAATTGAGTTATGAAACCTAACTGGTGAATATTGCACAATTCAACAGCTTCTTGTCTTTGAGGATTTGGAGGTCCCTACTCATAAAACCAAAAATATTGTGAACTATGTAAATCAAATGGAGAATACCAAGAAACTTCTTCTGGTGGATGGTGGCCCTATAAATGAAAAGTTGAAGCTAGCTACACAAAACCTGCATTATGTCAATGTTCTGCCATCAATTGTAAGTTGCATTAATAATAAAAATACAGTGTTTCCTTTGTTACTAAATACATAATGTAACTGCCGGCTGGCCTTTGTCATCAATGGCACAGTGAAGTACTGTCTTATTAAAGTTTTATTATCACTGTCATCTTGATGATTTGGATTTAAATTCATTCCAATGCACTAAGTATCTCCCTCAAATTGATATGTTAATCTTGGGGACTGCTCGTTTTTGAGTGCTCTAATAAGCTATTTCTGAACTCGGTATGCATGTGTTTTCCAGGGCTTGAATGTCTATAGCATCCTGCTGCACGACACATTAGTGATGTCCCGTGATGCTGTTAACAGGATCGTTGAGCGAATGCACACTCCAATCAACCGCTGAACTAGAATCATGTGCCTTTTCTTCCATTAGTTTTCTCTCAAAATAGGCAGCCTTTCATTTTCACAGAAGCAGGTAAGAAAAAGAGAAGCCCAAACAATTGTATGTTGTCTATGATAAAACTTTCAAATGCATGGCTGGATGTACACTTTCATTTGTATCAAACATTGCACATTCAGCAATTAATTTTGTAGTCCGAATTTCGTGAGCCAAAACACAGTGCTGCTGACTTTCCAGCAACTAAGACGAGTTTGTAACTTTCCTCCTTCATGGTATCAATCAATAAATTTTCTTGCCATCAGACATTGCATTTCTGACACGAACTTCATTCCACTGTAAACATGATGCTGCTGACTCTTCATTCCTCGACAAACATTTGTTCCAAGTACCCGCAACATGGACCAGTGACAATGATAGGTCTCACAGAATTTGGGGGCTTGGCCCCTGTGAGTCAATCATTAATGTTGAAGCCATGGGCCTGAAGGGGCAACTTTGTGTAAAATCACGGTGCCAGGTGTAAGAAACTTTGCTTCTAGCTCCTAACAATGTTCCAGGTTCGGTTTACGGAAAGGATCGTTTCATTTCAACATTATTCTCTATGAATGATCATTTCAATACGTGGTTAACTTTTGTATTAAAAAAATAGGGAACCCCATTTTTAAATGATCGGAATTCTGCGTATTATCGATTCCATACGGATAAAAATAGAGGAATAAATCTTTTTAAAAAGAGAGTATGGGCCTCCTTTTCTTTACATACCCATTGAATGATGCAGTTTGAAATGTGACAGTGTGGGTCTCAAGATGGAGCCCAACAGTGAAACTATTACGGCAAAAATGAAAGAAAATGGGAGAGGATATGGAGACAATCCTTCACTGCAGAGAGTGTGAACGTGGCAACATCTAATTAGCCAAAGCAAAAGACAACTGAGAGCTTGAAAATCTAGCTGCCATGGTTACCTGGGTAACCAGAATTACTACACCCAAATTACAGTTTTAAATTATCCACATTGGTTTTTTTGAAAAAAAAAAAAGAGAAAATTAAAAATAAAAATTCACTGTAACTCAAGCTCTGTATAGTCTCCAGAGAGTACTCTCTTTGTCTGAGTTGTCTCTGCTCTCTCCCATGAGGGGAACTTAGGGTTTGGTTTGTCTTTCTTTCTCCCCTTAATTCTTCAAAAGCTTCTTCTTTTTCACCATTTTGAAGGAAAAAAGTTTGCAACTTTTTCCGGTAAAACCCTGATCTTGACCTTGGCTGAAAAACCCTAGCTTTCCCATGGCAAAAACAAGACCAGGGCTCTCTGCTACCAAGCCCAAACCAGGGAAGAAGGACCTTGACTCTTACACCATAAGAGGCACCAACAAAGTTGTCAGAGGTACATGTTTTTTACATTGTAGATATACGTCTACGTATACGTTTATGCGTTTAGAAAAGAAATTTTGTTGCTTTGGTGGCGTGGGAAAATGTTTTCTGGGAATTTTGGAATCTTTGCATTTCGTGTTTATCGATATGAAATTTTCAATTATGTTAAGTAACGTTGGTTTTGAGGGTGAAGAAATGAATTTTTGGTTTGTTTAGGGAGTTGGGTTTTTGTGTGTAGATATGTCTAATGGATTTAAAGGCATTCGTGTGGAAAGATATGAGTCTGTTGGCAGAGGAAAGGTGGTGGCTTTGCAACTGGGGATTGTTAATGCGTCTATCAAGTTTCATTTAACATCAATGCATATGCATATAAGCGTGTTTTAGAGGTGTAGATAGATGATAAGAAATGTAAAATTGTGATCCCTAAGAGTGAAAGTTCGATGTTTTTGCAGCTGGGGATTGTGTTCTGATGCGTCCTTCGGACACCGGTAAGCCCCCGTACGTGGCACGAATTGAGAAAATTGAAGTGGATAGCAGGAATAATGTGAAGGTTCGAGTGCGGTGGTATTATCGTCCTGAGGAGTCACTAGGAGGAAGGAGGCAGTTCCATGGAGCGAAGGAGCTGTTTTTGTCTGACCACTATGATGTGCAGAGTGCTCACACCATTGAAGGGAAGTGTATTGTTCATTCTTTCAAGAACTACACTAAGCTCGAGAATGTTGGTGCTGAGGATTACTATTGTAGATTCGAGTATAAAGCTGCTACTGGAGCCTTTACACCTGACCGAGTTGCTGTGTGAGTAGTATGATCTCTTAGTTTGTGAAACGTGATTATTACTTATTCACAATATGGCATTGATGGATCTTGGTGCCCCTGGGCCTTTCTGTTTTGAAGGTACTGCAAATGCGAGATGCCATACAACCCTGATGATCTCATGGTGCAATGTGAGGGCTGCAAGGACTGGTATGGTTCTAATTCTATAGTTCTTTTTATGATTTACTGGTGCCACCTGCCCTATAATTTTTATGATTGCTTGAATGTTCTCCTCACCATTCTTGTAGGTATCACCCTGCTTGTGTGGGCATGACAATTGAAGAAGCCAAAAAGTTGGATCACTTTGTGTGTTCTGAATGTTCTGAGGATGATGTCAAAAGATCACAGAATGGATTTCATGCATCACCAGCATCTGATGCCAAGGTAAGACCGTTTTCGACCAATTTCTCATGATTCGAGGCCAATTATCTTTGTATCTTTAGTCAAATCAGTTTTTGCTAGCCCTCTGATGCACAATTTGCCAGTTCTATTTTGGGTATCCTCTGAGGAAGTTTATGAATGTAAGGAGCAATTAATGGGAATCTTCATCCTATGCAAACATGCATCAAACCACATGCAATGTGAAAAGGGTATTGATACATTGTTGTTCTAATAACAATTATCAAATAGTGCTTGCTAGGTCGTAGAAATTGTTTGAAACAATGACAAGAATTCTTGATTTCTTGCAGAATGTGAAACAATAGTTGAAAATTTATTCGATTTCCATATGGTTTATATTTGACTCTATGTGGATGTTTGTTTTACTGAGTTTATTGTATTCTGTAGTAGCATGCAAATTCTTCATTAGGTGCCATTATCCTCATGTCCTTCCGAATTATATTCTGGCCTACAGGGTTGTTCATAAAGCCAATGAATTGGAAAATGCATTCCTAAACATTGGCATGTATAGCATATATAGACTACACTTACTGGACATCCTCAAGTTAATGTTGGTTATATATGTTAGTACTACTATTTATAAATGGATAGACAAGTTCATTTACTAGGGCATCATTTAAGGAATGGTAATTGATGCACATGCTTTTACCTTATAGGACCCAATTTAAAGATGAAGTGAATGCTAAGACCTTAATCAATGCTTTTTAACTGGGAGGTGTTAGATGCAGGTTCTTCTTATATTTCTATTCAGTGCTACTGCTTTTTGGATAAAATGTTAAGAGTTCATATATGGCAGGGTTATCTATTCTAGTCATTATTGATACAATCTCATGGTATATTATTGACTCCTACCTACACATGTGCCTGATTTGTTGATTGGTTCCATGTCTTTTGTCCAGCAGTGTGCACGGTTATTATTTCCATTTCATTACATTTCTAGGATTAGCATTGTCTTTTGCTAGTCAATACTGTGATTGTTACGAACATGTATCCAAACATTTTACCTGGCGCATTAGCAGATGGTTTGTGATTTTGCCCATACTCTATAACTTTTGCTAATTGGGCGTGCACAACATCATAGAGAGGTGTAGGCAATCATCTCATACTAGACATGAAGTTTAGAGGGAATTTTAGATATAAAAATGTTACTGCATACAGAGAAAAGTCCATTAATCTAAATTCTTTGCTTTGAAAATAATTATATTGTGTTTTGAGGTTCTGCCTCTACTCATCTTTTGCAATCTTTTCCAGGTGGAGCCCAAACGAAGGAAGAGATAAGTGAACCATGGGGAAATTTTGTTGCATGAGAGGAGAAGACTCCTTATGCAGGTTTAGCTTGTAGCCTGTTGTTGTGTGAGTTGTATAGTGCAGAAGTTTGTGTGCTTTGCCCAAACTGGTGGCTGTTAGTAACTTATGTGTTGGAGAGATCTGTATCTGTGTTAGGTTTAGGAGATTAAGTCTGCAGGAGGATTGATCTGTAGTTCTCTCATGTTGAACCAATATTTCCAGTAGAAAAACTTTCAAGTATCACCTTTCCAATCTTTTGCTTTCCATTCTTGATTATGCATTGCGCTAACTATCTTTTACTCAAGGATTGGATCACCTTCCATTCCTCCTCAGCCAAATTCAATCCTTCATTTCATTAAGCAAAGTTTCTGTTGAGAGCTCGAGAAAAGCATTTCCAGGGAATTGCAGAGATTATGATCAAAATAAGTGGTGCAATTGATTGACTTGTAATCATGCAATCCTGCCAATAGTTTCTCCAGTTATTTCTCTAAAGCATTGCGCCTTTCTTGGTGGGTTTGGTGTGAATGGCATGGCCAAAACATGCACAAACAGCATTTAATACTTAATTGCAGCAACATTAACTTTGAGTCTAAGCAGAAAAGGAAGGTAACCGTTAGTGCTCTCTCTTAAGTGGGGCTGCGGCTTTCCCCTTAACAGCTTATGAACAAAGCTTTTACTCACGTTAACATTGTGGATAAGAATTCGTTTTGCGTTTAATTTTGTGAAGAGTTGAAACCTCCATCACCGTTTATATTTAAACACAAGGCACACTCCGAAAGATTCATTCACATATTTTCCTTCATTGTAAACATGGCAAATGGTGTTGCTGCATCGGCTGCATCGAGCTATGCAATTCTTCTTCTCTCTCTGAGTTTCATTGCATCTTTTGCGGAAGAGACAGCTATATATTTAGTTTTAATGGAAGGAGAAGCAGTAGCATTCAATGGCGATAGTCTACTTCGCCAACATGGCAGAAAATTTGACCCCAGGAGGTTATAAAGAGCGTCATCGCCTTCTTTTCTTTTCCATTTCTAATTCTTGGAACAGCAGGCAGCATATTCATCTTTAACGTATTGAAGGAAAATTGAAAGTTAATGTTATCTGTAAATCTTATCATATGAGCATAAATTAATGGCGTTTTGATCTTCAAATTCGTTAGCCATTAACACAGTTTTTGCTTTCTGTATCGACAAATAGTGAAGCTTCCAAGGTTCATGAAAAGAAGCTGGTAGACTCTCACGATCAAGTTCTGCAGAGCACTCTAGAGACTGGAAGCTATAACAAGCTCTACAGCTTCACAAACGTTCTTAATGGCTTTGCTGTCCACACTGCACCTTCTCAGGTTGGCCTTAGTGTCTCTTCCACTTAGAAACTTTCTGATAAACAAGGGAAACAAGAAATTTTTTCTCAGTTAGTAATTGTTATGGGAAAATTTTCAGGCTACGCAACTAAAACATGCACCGGGAGTAAAGCTGGTGGAGAGAGATAGAGGAACCAAATTGATGACTACCTACACCCCTCAGTTCTTAGGGTTACCTGAAGGAGTGTGGGCAAAGGAAGGAGGAGAGAGAAACGCAGGAGAAGGGATTGTTATTGGTTTCGTCGACACAGGCATCAACCCATCACACCCAAGCTTTGTTTATGACTTAGTCAATCCTTTCACGTCCAATATTTCTCATTTCTCTGGTGCATGCGAGACGGGTCCTAAATTCCCACCATTTTCTTGCAATGGTAAGATAGTTTCTGCCAAGTTCTTCTCAGCTGGAGCTCAAGCAGCTGCTTCTCTCAACGCTTCAGTGGACATTCTTTCACCGTTTGATGCCGTTGGCCATGGAAGGTAATTATCAAATGTATATATGAAACAAGGCTCAATCCTTCTTCCTTCTTTTCTTCTTTTTTGGTAGATTGTTTCATATTCACTTTGTCTTCATTGGTCTGTAACGCTGCTGATAAAAAACTGTGCTTTTTTAAGCCACGTGGCATCAACTGCAGCTGGAAATGCTGGGGTCCCTGTGGTTGTGAACGGCTTCTACTATGGGCGAGCCAGTGGGATGGCACCGCGTGCACGGTGCGTTCTTCAAGTTCTGTGGTGTAATTAAAGAGATTATTCTTAGTAATTTACGACCTTCCTAACATATGATTCTAGCAATATTCATTGATTTTTTTTTTCCTTTTTTGAATAGAATTGCTGTTTACAAGGCTATCTATCCAACAGTGGGAACGCTTGCGGATGTGGTTGCAGCCATTGATCAAGTAGGCACTGAATTCCATATCAGTAAAATTGAAAAACACGATGCATGCTTTCATGCAATGATTTGTTTCAGTACTTTAGCTTTTCATGCGTTTCCTTGAGCAATATTAATCGATATCCACCCCGGAACAGGTGGCCGGAAAGGGAGAAGGTTGGTGATTTTACTGAAAAGATTGCAAAAATCAGAATAACTGTGTGTGTTAATTTCTTGTGAGATTACAGGCAGTATCAGATGGAGTCGATATCTTGACGCTCTCCATTGGACCAGATGAGCCACCACAAGATACAGTCACATTCTTGAGCATGTTCGACATAGCCATGTTATTGGCACGAAGAGCTGGGGTTTTCGTGGTGCAGGCTGCTGGAAATCAGGGTCCGGGTCCTTCAACAGTGGTGTCTTACAGCCCTTGGGCTGTCGGTGCAGCCGCTTCCAGGACAGACAGAAGGTACATTGGTTCTCTTCTCCTAGGAAATGGTCAAAATATTTCAGGTGTGGGGTTAACAGGTAATGTTTCAGTGTCAAATCAAAGGAGACTTATTTCTTTTTTCATCCTTTCTTTTTCTTTCAACAGTGATTCTTTGAAATCTTTAAATTGATAACATTTTCTGTTTCCTAGCTCCAAGTTTAGGAAATGGATCAGTACTCCATAAGCTGGTGCTGGCTAAGGATGCAGTCAATTTACATGGAGCATTCCCAAGGACTCCACCGTATGTTGAAGAGTGCCAATACCCAGAAGCATTGGACCCTAATGTAGTGAGGGTAGTATCGTTATATGCACTTTCTCGGCTGGCTTCTACAACGAGACATCCACCCTGTCAGCCATCATTGACACAGCAAGAACTCTTGGATTCACGGGTTTTGTTCTAGTAGCAAATCCAAGCTACGGTGACTTCATTGCGCAACCAATTCCCTATTCAGTTTCTGGCACTTTGATTCCAAAAGTAGCAGATGCTAAGGTAATAGTTTGTCATTCCACAGCAAACAATTAGCTATTTGTTCTTAACCGGCTTTTGCACGATCTTATGAGACAATCATCATCTTATGTTTGTAGATTGTATCTCAATATTATGAACAACAAACATATAGGGATGCAGGAGGCTTCGTGAGAGAGTTCAATGCAAGAGCTGCTATAGGAAGCGGCAGAGTTGCTTCTTTTTGTGGGCAAGCACCCATTGTTAGCAGATTCTCTTCAAGGGGACCAGATTTCATTGACATTAACAAGGACCCTGCTGATGTGCTAAAACCAGATATTCTTGCACCAGGACATGAAATTTGGGCAGCTTGGAGCCCCATGAGTGCCCTGGATCCCATTCTGAGCGGTAATTAAACATGATCATCAAGCTTCTTACTCATTCATATATAGTTCTGATTGCTTAGATAAGAAGAGTTGATCAGACTCGAACTACTTAATCAGGATACAATTTCGCTCTACTGTCTGGTACAAGCATGGCTGCCCCTCATGTTGCCGGAATAGCAGCACTAATTAAGCAAAAGTATCCTTCCTGGACTCCCTCAATGACAGCATCCGCAATCTCTACCACAGCCTCCAAGTTTGATAATAACGGAGAGCTTATAATGGCCGAAGGATCTGATATTGGAAGCTTGTATTCCTCTACTTACTTTGATACTGGCGCTGGCTTTATTAGTCCAAGTCATGCTATGGATCCAGGTTTAGTATTGTCATCAGGTAAACCCTTTCACTATCCCATTAACCTCTCTTGCACTTCCAAATTCTATTGACCATAACTATTATTTTATCCTGAGGCAGAATTTGAAGATTACATCAGTTTTTTGTGCTCAATCCCCAACATTGATCGGTTTGCAATCAGAGCTGCCACTGGAGTGTGGTGCAGTCAGTCCCTTGGCCTCCCAGCTAACCTGAACCTACCGTCAGTGACAATATCTGCACTTGAAAGATCAGTAACAGTGAGGCGGAGTTTCAAGAATGTAGCCAAACCAGAGACGTATGTCAGCTCAGCCATACCACCAAATGGGACGACAATCACCTTGAATCCACCGTGGTTTGCTATAGCCCCAGAAGAAACCCAGGATTTGGACATAGAAATCAAGGCGATCCAATCAACCAACCAGTTCAGCTTCGGTGAAATTATATTGACAGGAAGTTTGAATCACATTGTGAGAATACCATTAGCGATTAGGCCAGTGTCAACTGTTTAAGCGAAAACTCAAACAGCTTGTTTTCTCTATACAGGTTTTACATTCTAGAGTTTATGTCCAGGGCTAATAAAATTTGCTGTATTGCAATAAGCCCCTGCTGCAAAAACATTATACCATATTTTCCTGTCGTTTTTACGTCACAAATTAACAATGGGAACAGCCCAATTTGGAAGACAATGTGCGACTAGCATGCGAGATTCATGCTTACAGACAGAACATCTAGCTTCGTGCAACCAAAATTGTTCTTAAAATAAGAATTACTTTGAATGTGTCAAAGTGAATCGTCATGTTAAGATTCAAAAGGGAAAAGTATACTGTCCGCAATCACACACAACAGATAGAAGAATTATCATATAGCTCGATTTGAGACCAATGTTAAACAACAAAGAATATTACATGTTATAATTAGAATTGACATGCTTAAAAAATGGTGGAATGTTAATTTGTAAGACACATACACTCTTTACACCGTGGATACCTGTAAACACTCCTAGCCTTAGGCCTACTCTGGACATGTTTAGTTTGCCTAACTGCCTTCCTCACTCTCTGCTCAAACACTTTCCACTCTATAGTATTGTTCTTCACGAAGATAGCAGCTAGTCTCCGCTTGTTCGGGCGTATTGTTGGCATCCTCCCTCCACCATAGTATATTCGATAACCAGATACCAAAGATGACAACTGGCTACCAGAGTCCGTCATGGCAAATGCATCAGCTGCAGTGCAGGCAATGAAGTCCAGTGCTGCTAGCTACAGATGAAATAAGCTCATCATACATCATAGCACTCACACCAAGTATGAAAGTAACTAACATCGAGAAGAGCATAAACAATCAAGAAAACCATTTGTCCATTTTTAAATCACTAAAATTGCTTCTATGTTAAAAACTTTTGAAACCTAACCTTAATAGTGTTGAAAAAGCCATATAAAAAGGTTTAATAGAATAATTTCCAAACATCTAGCTTTGTTATCTCAGAACTTATATAACCATATGAGAACTTAGATCATTAAAGCAGAAGAAAACCTGGAAAACATGTGTTGAGCATCTTCTGGATAATGAAAAAGCTAATATCAAAGTAATTCTGAAAAACGCAAATCTCAGTAGGACCAGCTGGCCAGGAGCCAGCTCATCAATGTGACAATCACAAAACCTAAACTCTTTCTTCAAAATAAACAAAGAAGTGTCAATGCCACTTTGTTACCTGAGATGAGAAGTTCATGAATGGTTCAAGTTCCTTTGGTGAAAGCAAATTCTCTTTAGTAACTAAGTTAGGATACAAGCTCGTCAAAGCAGCCAATCTAGTTCTCCCTCCATATATTTGTGCCCCTGCCACATATACATGAGTCTTACGGTTGAAACCTAGAGCAGCAAGCATAAGTACCGCTTCTTCTGGTGTTAATGGACATAAGCCTTCAGACCTGAGCACTGCAGGGGAAGGTAACCTGAAACAAGAAAAACAGTTTGCGTCAATATGTCAATATAAAACAATATTTTCATGCTTCTCGTCCAAATCTGCAATGAAAGAAAGAAATGGACATGTCAGAGAAGAAGACTTGAAAATTATAATTACTTTTCTGTCATCTTGAGCTCTGTTAGAGCAGGAAAATGGATTTGTCGATATGCTTCCAATTCTTGCCTCTCTTCTTCACCTCCACCAAACTCACATAAAGAATGAGCTGCCATGTCAATCTCAAATCTTAAATGCAAAGCTAGATATTTGGAAGCTTTTGCAGCACGATCACCCCTTGCAATCATGGCTGATACTGCATGTGAACCAACAAGATAATGATCCAATGCTCCTGGGTGAGCTGAATGCCGGCGCAATCTTTCGAGGAGTAAAGCACCAGTTTCTTGTATTTTTGGAACAAATTTAAGTGCATGAAAGTTACATCTGCATCGAAGTCTCTAGATGAAGTCCCCCAATTAGGAAGAGCGAAGTAGGAAAGAAGAGGGCATAGTCATCAATTTTATTAGCATGAACTGATTATGACATTTATCTAAGGAATAAAGCTAGCAACTAAAAGGAGCTTGTTATGGAATGAGATATTAAGGATAGAAATTTACCTGCAACTGAAATGGTATTGGGTCAAATGCCAAACGATTCCCAAATCCAACAAAATGGACAACACTTTTCTGGAGTAGAATAGGGAGAATGTTTTTCAAATAAAAACTTGGTTTAGATTCCTTCCTAATATCTACATCTGTCACCTGGAAAATCAATTGAACAATCACTACATAAAAAAGTCATGCTAAAACAAATGCTGCAAGCACAAACTAATCAGAACTTGATTAGAGGAAGAAACTCACAACGCTACCAATTGCCTCCAAATCTAGTGACTGTAGCTCCTCAGGAAGTTCCTTCACTATTCGAATGTCAGGAGTCAGGTAGTTAATAAAATGCTGCTCCTGATAGATATCGCTGAATTGACTATGAAATTTAAAATTCAATGGGGTTACTTTTCCATCTAGAGCTAATAGAAGTCATTTGCATAGATACAATGAATTTAATCTGAAACTAAATTCCATTCATTCAGTATGCAAAGATCAACAGCATAATTGGTAAAGAAAAAACAACATAAAATGTTTAAATGCAAGAGAACATCCATCTTCTGAGGGGAAAGAATCATCAAAAACTAAGAGGGAAATTATTCTAAAAAGAAAAGAAAGGAATAATCCTCACCTTACATCTTTCCAGACACTACTGTACATAAATTTGGGAACAACAAGAGTTGCATTAAGTAATCGTGCAACAACTACAGCATTGCAGACCTGTCACCAACAGTAGATATTTATCAACGAGAAACTATGTGTACTAAACTCAAAAAGAGATTACAGCCCAAAAGCTGCTCAAGAGATTGAAAAACATAATGTAATCACTTACAGCTACACGCTGCTGGTTCATTCCACCATTTGCAGTAACCATAATGTATCCATTCTTCCCCTCTATAATAAAATAACAAACGATGTCAAGTGACAACTAGTTAAATTACCCATACACCAGTGAATTAAACATATAGAAGTCAAAGAGAGAGACCACTAGGTTCCCAGTTCCGTTGATCAGCACACGGTCTCCATGCAGAAGCAGGAACCACAGGCTCCTGCCATAAATCTTTTGGCTCGCGTTTATTTTGCCCCTATGTGTCATAACACTTTTTCCAATGAAAACAGACAAACAAGAAGAATAGAGAAACATTATCGAAATAGGCAATTCATTATAGGAGGGAGTGAACCAGAAGACAGCAATGCTTATATCCAAATACCTCTGCCAAAGCATGAGCAGCCAAAGCCAACATCCTTCCATAAATACCATGAAATTGCCTTTTCCCTTTACTAAGCTTTTTCACCTTTCCCTGCAAAAGCCACAAAAGCAATGCAATTGGCAAAGAATTCTCTTCCCAGAGAACACAATTTCAAGTATCTCCAACGCTTACTAATATTTACTTACATTAAACCGGCACCGGTGCAATTAATCACCTCCTTAAATTTTACAGTAATTCTAAAATAAATCTCAAAGCCAATGAGAGTTGAACTACCTGAATCGAAACAGAAGAGTTCCTGGAAGATCTGTCATGGAGTCCGACCCGGTGGTCTTGTAACCGCAAAAGCATAAACCAATTGACCAAGAAGAACAAACCCACCAATGCAACCACCACGACAAGTCCTTTCACTCCATTCCTCTGGTACCAGACTTTCCCTCCTTTTCTCTTCACCTTCTTCGATTGCTTCTTTCGACCACCCCACAATTTTCCTACCAATTCAGCTCCAACCAATGACGCCCGGCTGTTTCCACCGTTCATGAACCGGCTAGGGCCGACTCGCGGGGACTGACTCGGGGACCCTTGGCGACTCCTCGGGCTCGACTGGAGATTGACCCTGTCGGGAATTCGGATGTTGTTGGGTTGGTCTTGTTTAGATTCAAGAACAAGATTGTGGAAATTGTTCGCGTTGCTAGTTAAAGACATTGATTTGATGGATCCACGGTTTGAAACCTTGAAATCCAATGCCGAGAGTTAAAAGAGAGATTTGCCGTTTGCTCAGGTTGCTTATTTAAGACAGCGCAGCGATAAACACGCCAACTCAAGTGGTGCCGAAAGTGGGAGGTGACGAGGCCTTTGACAATGGGTAAAAAACTTCTCTGTTAGCTTAAAAACATTGGGATTAAATCAGGGATCATTATTCATAGTAATTTTCAGTACCATGTGTTGTTACTAGAATTCAACTCACCAAGAAAATTGAAATCTAATATTAAAAATATATGAATAATGCCAAATAGAAATCTTCCTTGCATGGGCAATGGGCCAGCCTATACTTGAATTTCACCTGACCTTTTTGTTGACCAGCCCACATGACTCCACCTGGAGAAGCCCAAAATGGAGGAAGAGGGCCTAAGACCAATTGCCCATACCATAATCTCATGTTAAATTGTTAATCAGGCATTCTTAATCATTTACTAGGTCCCGATGATCGATCAAACGAGCTCTTAAACTTTGATACAAATTCAAACAAACTCTTAATCCTAACTTAAACTTAATATCAATTGACTTTTTTGCCCATATGACATATAACTTGACAATTTAACCATATCAATTATCAGATGATTACGTCAAGTCGTTAAATTAGATTGACACAAAGATTCTTTTTTAGAGTTTAAGCTAAAATAATTAGCCTAAACGGCAGTGATCTGACTCCACGACCATAAGATAAAGCATGCACGTAGTACACCTGTTTCTTTATATTCTTTTGTTCAATCAAAATTTGTCCTTTTCTGTCACCTTTTTCTTTCCCCAATCGCATCTACAGCAATGAGTTCTCCCATGATAGGAAATGTGGCAGACACAAATATGTGTCGGCAATTTCTTGCAGAAAAGAATCAGCAATGAGACGAAGACTAGGGACTAAAAACATGAAAATTCATGATGGCAAATCAACATCAAAGGCAATGTTATGTACTTTGCTTGCATTAAAGGAAACTTTCTTCTTTTCTTTTATTAAGATGCAAAACAGTGAATGTGCATCATGATGTCCCAATAAAACACCTATATATTTGCACTGTAAAACTATAAAAATTTAAAGTGACAATGTGTGCGATATAATTACATAACTTTTTTTTCCTTTTTGGGTTCATTCTCGATTTTGATTCTCTTCTAGGAGCTTTTAACTCGTGTTCTCTTCAGTCATCCTAGACCTTAGCATGCTGCATCCATGATTGCAAGGTATCAGTTTTTTGCAAGCTTCAAGTTTCAACCAGACACTTTAGAATGACATGTCGATTGCATCATGATCTGGGGTCTTGTATGCAAATCCTGATTCATCACTCGATCGCCTTTTGACCACACTTGCCCTTTGCACTAACCTCACTAAAGCTTGGACAACCTCAGACATGGGAGGTCGAAACTCAGGTTCTGGCTGCATAGATAAAAATGAACTTATAATTCATTAACTCTACATCTTATTCTTCTTTTTTTAAACCCCTCTCTCTAAATGTGCCCCTGTTAAGATAATCTATATTGTCCTAAGCATTAGTAAATTCCTTTACCTGAACACACAGAGCAATAATGTCAGCAAAGCGTGACAGAGACTTTGCAGGATACATGCCATTGAGGGCAGGATCAACCATTTTAGCCAGGGCATCTATATCATGTAGTTGGGGAGTGGCCCATCTGACAAGTGATTGCTCTGATCTCGTCCTTGAACTAAACAATGCAGAATACACCAAAACAAAATTTTACTTGGACAGATAGACATCGCATTGTAAGAATGCCTAGATATAAAGATCATTATCTAGAGAAGGAAAACGGGTTTTACCTATCCAGTGGTTTTCGACCAGTCAGCAGCTCCAACATCACCACCCCAAAACTGTACACATCACTCTTTACAGTATATAGTCCTGACAATGCAAACTCAGGAGCACTATAACCAAATGATCCAACCATCTGTGTTGAAACCTGTCCAATATGGAAACAAACCAATAAATAAATAAAGAGCTAGGACAAACTTCCGTTTACAGGCAGCATTGGAATGAAAACTTGTTCACCAATGACTCATTATTAAAAGCAAATTTTTACCTGTCGCTCAGTATTTGGTGTAAGAGCAGCTAAACCACAGTCAGACAAGTGGGGATTGAGCTCTTCATCAAGTAGGATGTTTGCTGACTTGAAGTTTCTATGTACAACTGAAGGCAAGCACACTTCATGCAAGTACCTGAAACAAAGCTTTATCAGAAAGGAAGACATGCAAGCAGCCAAATTCTCAGTAATATATGTGTTTGCACCATGGGTGGGAGAGAGAGAAAGAAATAGACTCAAAAAAATTGTACACATATTACATACTCTAAAGCCCGGGCAGTGCCAAGGGCCACTCTGACACGTGCATTCCAGGTTAACGTCTTGCTGCCATCATCAGAAAAGTGCAGCATATCATGAAGACTTCCATTTCCTACATATTCATATACCAGAAGACGCTGTCCATGCTCTGCACAGTATCCAGCCAATGTAACAATATTTGGATGCCTCAAGCGTGACATATTGGAGACAGCTTCCAGAAAATTATCTTCCTCTTGTAATGATAGTGCAGCATTGTCGATTTTTTTAATAGCCATTGTCTAGATCAAATGACATAAAAAATAATTAGTTATCATTATCCAACATTAGTTTTTAGAGAGAGCACTTCAATATTAAATATTTGTTACAGTTAAGTTACCTTTCCGTTTGGAAACTCTGCCCTGTAAACACGACCAAGGGAACCTTCACCGATAAGATATTCTTGACTAAAACTATTTGCCGCTGTTTGCAAAGAAGCAACAGTATATGATGTAGCAGTGATGGGTGACTTGATTCTCTTTAGAGATCCATTTTTTGACATCTTATCAACCGTCAATTTTTCTGCTGGTGGGGGTTTCAAATCTATTACAGCAGCAACATTTTTCACCCTCTGCTCTTGCATCTCAGTACGTCCTGCAAAAATGAAGCAGAATATGGGTCCAGCATTGTTAGGATGTTAGAGAGTTTTAAGCACCAATTACTAGTGAACTTCAAGAGCATCATGACGGAGAAACAATACTGCCAACAAATTTCTTTAAAATTGATTGCTTTATTAAAGTAAAAGTACTGCCAAGAGAACAGAAATGTGAAGAAGAAAACCTACCATCGTTGGAGCCAACTGAAAGACTTCCCCTTGAAGCTCTTGCACCATTCACCTTCTTTTTATTTTTACGGACACAGAAAACAAGAGCAAGTAGTGCCAGAACAACCACTAACAAAGAGCCAAGAACTATGCCTACAATAAGTCCAGCTGATGGTCCATTATCTGAATCTGATGATTGACCATCCGAAGTAGGGGATGTACGAGCTCCTGATCCAGAATTATGTTTATTATGAGATCTACGAGGTGGAGGTGGACTATATGGTGGTGGAGGAGGGGCAGGACCATTGGCAAAGGAGTTGCCATCATATCTGTTTCATTTTCAATAGCAAAGTTCAACATTTTGCACAAACTACATATGGAAAAGTAAAATGGCGGCAATGCCACTTTAAGCCTTACATAAAAGTTGGGAGTGAAAAAAGCTCTTGAGGAATCCATCCACTGAAATGGTTATTCGCAACATTTCTGTTCAAAATCTAGGGTGCATCAGAACAGGCTGACAGAGAGTAAAAACCCAACTACAGTATGAGAAAAATAACTTACAGACTTGTCAAAGATAAACCGGAAAGGACATTAAGGGAACCAGTCAATTGATTGTTCTGCATATAGCTGCCACAAATTCAGATATCAATGCACTTGGTCAATCTCCACAAATCTGAACCCTATTTTTCCTCCTGTTTTTTACTCTCAGAGAATGAAGGAACACTTTACTTACAGCATAGAAAGATTGCTCAATGAGCTAAACGAATTAGGAAGATCCCCACTAAAATTGTTGAAAGAAAGATCCCTGAATTAACAAGCAAAGGTACCCAAACCATAATGTGGTTAGAAAATATTTAGTAAGAAAACAGCCTACAGGTACCAATCAGAATATAGTTAATTGTTATTAAGGTAGTCAAAGCTTCCCTCTATCACTCATCCTTAATGGAATTCAATCCAAAAACAATATGGTTGCAGAAAAATATCTCTTCCTTTAATGCACATAATTAAAATATAGAGAAGACAAAACTACCTTACGTTGAACCAAAATCCAAATATAATTTTCCAGGTGAAGCTTTAATCATCGACACATTTCAACACCTTTAAAATGTTTTATGTTACTAACAATTTGGAATAAGTGAGCAATAAGTGGAATACAAAAGGATTCACAGCAACAAGGAATAGCAAGTTAGATCACAGAAATTCTACATAGATTAAAACTTATAGATTAGAATAAATATACAAGGTTAAGTAAGTTCCCTTACAAGGTCCCAAGGTCGGCAAGATTAGCAAAAATGTCTCCAACAGACAGGGAGAGTGAATTATGGCTTACATTCCTATAACCAAAGATTGAGAATTAGGAAATAAGAGGAAGTTTGATTTGCTACTCAATTGTGTGATGAGTAAACAAAAGATCATAGCATTTGAGATATGCCACTTACATGTAGGTAAGAGTAACCATAGTAGAAATGGAGTAAGGAAGATTCCCACTTAAGTTGTTACCTGCAAGATTCCTGCATCATGTAATAAACAAGCATTTCAATACAAAGCAATAAAAATAATCCTTAAAACAATAGAAACCATAATGAATCAGAGACATTACAGGCTCGTAAGATTCGGTGGCAACTGGTATGGGATTGTATCATGAATGTTATTGTTACTCAAATCACTAACAAAATACGAAGAAAAAGACATTAACTAATTAGGTAAATAAAGAGTTACTCAAAGGCACACACAGACATCAAAGCAATGGAATTATCTTACAGTGTTCTCAAAGACATAAGATCAGAGAGCAAGTATCCCATGGTTCCAGAAAGCCGTAACCCAGAAATATCACTGTTATAACAACAACAGCCACCCATTAACCAAAACATAAACTGATCAAGCTACAAAATTTGAAAAACAAATAGCTACGTTTGAAATATTCACTCTCGTACACAGAAACGACGGCCGAGCCCTCACAAGTAACCCCTTTCCATGACTCTC